AAATAAATTAAATTTACACACATAGTTAAATTAGTGAAAATTGAATAAAATCGAAAGAAAAAAAAGCGAAAAAAAAGAAGAAACACAGCAGAGACGTGTGACAAAAACGTAAATAACATAGAGGTATACAAAGAGAGCGGGAAAGAGAGAGTGACAGAGAGAGAGAGAGAGACCTACAGAGAGCGTGCGGGCAAGCGAGCGAGCGAGCGAGGGCAGCAGATACAGGTCGTCAGCAGACTACACAGAACGTGTCGAGCAACAAATTAATAAATAAAAAATAAGTTCAAAACATAAAAAAAACAACAACAAGAGCAACACAGAACGTCAGTGACGGCGTCGACAGCAGCAGCAGCAGCAGCACAGTCACAAAATGGGCTGTGGACAGAGCAAAATACATTTATATCCCAGGAAATCGAAGAGTAAAGCAAACGGCAAGAAAGGAGGACACGGTAAGCAGCAAATCAAAGGAGTTGCGCCTATGTATATATGTATGCGTATGTATATGTGTGTGTGTGTGTGTGTGTGTGTGCGTGTGTGTGCGTGCGTCTGCATGTGTGCGATTGTGTCTATTTGCCTTGAGTACACAAACGTTTACACACACACAAACACAGGCAAATAAAACAAAAGCTTACACGCATGACGACATCAATTTGCCTTGCAGCTGTGTATAGGTGCGTCTGTGTGTGAGCACGTGTGTGTGCGTGTGTAAGCCACCTGTTTTCACAATGAGGACATCATTGATTAATATTCCAGCAGCAGGGCTTAGGCCATGCAGTTGCCAACTAAAAGACTAGGCTTATAAGCTGCACACACATGCAGGCCTTAAATATAAACACACATGTATCCGTGTGTGGGCGTGTGTGTGTGTGTGTGTCTGTGTGCATGTATGCGTTTATAATAAAACACTGTAAAATAAAATTGTTGCCCTAGCCTACATTCAAAAGTTTTCGGCAAAGCCTCGAGAGCCTTTTGTCATGTTGTTGTTGTAGCTGCTGCTGTTTTTACAGCCTTTCTCTCGCATTTGCGTGTGTATGAATGTGTGCGTGTGTGTGTGCGTGTGCGAGTGTGTGTAATTAACTACTAAAAGGCAACTTGTTGTTGCAATGGGCGCACCAGTTGAGTGGGTGTGGTCCCCTTGGGGCCCTTGTCTCTATTTATGTATGTGCATGAATGTCTCTTTGTGTATATACATATATAAATATATATTAATGTGTGTGTTTGTGTGATTGTGTGTGCCAGTGCTCGTGTGTTTGGGCTGCGCTCAAAACGGGTTAACAAAAGTGTAGCATACACAATGGCGCCTTTGTGCCATAAAAGACCCAAATTCTGATGGCCTTAGGTTCGTCAAGCTCTCGCCTCTTTCGACTATGGCTAGATTAATTATAAAGTTTTTCATTCATATCGTATTTTTGTGTTGCGGCTGATGAATTTGCATTAAAATGCATAACTCGTCTTAATTAAATTTGCCAAAGGCCGCCACGAGTGACTCAAAGAGAAGAGGGAAAACTCCTTGATTCAGACCTTGTATTCTTAAAGAGCCAAAACTGATCAAAGGATGAGTTCCTTGGCAAGCAATGAGGTCTTCAAGTGCTGAGTATTATTGATATCTCAAATACTTGAACTGTCTTAAGCTGTTGTCCTACTTTTCTACGACTTCGCCAAATGTCCTTCAGCCACTCGCAGGGAACATTTTATTGCTTTAGTTTTCCACTTAATGAATACTTACATATGTCGCCTCCCTCTTTTTGCTTTGCTTAGCGGACTCGGATGCTGAGACGGATGAGGATGAAGGTCATATTGAGGATGCTGAGAAGGCGCAACAGCGTGAGCGCGAGAAGCAAGACGAGACCGAGGAACAAAGCAATAAGGACATACAGGACACCGAGGAGGACGTGGCCGTGTCGCTGCTGCGTGCCAAAAACCTGTCGCTGCTCCAAAGCCAGTAAGTAGCAACTAACTAATGTGACACCCCACCCCACCCCCAAAAATCCATCTCAACTAAAACTGCCTGCACCTTGCAGAGAAATATCATCAAGCCAACAGAACTTCTTTCGCATGCTGGACAAGAAGATCGACGAGGTAAGCCGAGGACACAATTCCAAAGCTGAAAAAACTCGACTAAAGCAATTCTCTTCGCAGGGGCCCGACTATGACTCGGCTAGCGAGACGGAAATTGCCTTGGAGGAGGCACGACTGAATGCACTGGTCCAGCATTGGGAGTCCGCTAGCCTGACCGCATCCATATGCTCCTCCGCCAGCCGCTCGCTGCAGACGACGCCGATACGTCAGGTGGCGCAAGTGCCGCTCAAGACGAGAGGCGCCACGAGCGGACCCGCTGGCCACCTACTGCAGCCCTCCTCGGCGTGCAACACGCTGCCCACGACTGAGTATCTACCTCAGCACGTCATGGCGGGGCGACAGCAGCAGCAACAGCAACAGCAGCAGCAGCAGCATCAACAGCAGCAACAACAGCAGCAGCAACAGCAGCAGCAACATCAAGCGGCAGCTATCTATCAGCAGCAGCAACTAATCCTCTCGCAGCAGTTGCTGCCACAACTCGATGCCAATCTCGTCAATACGTCCAATGCCAATGCAGCGGCCGCCGCGCAGCTCAATCAGCTGCAACAGCAGCAGCAACAGCAGCTGGTGCTCTACCAGCAACATCAGCAACAGCAACAGCAGCAGCAGCAGCAGCAACAACAACAGCAGCAACAATTCGCTGCGTATGGTGGCCAACTGCTGACGCTTCCCGCCGGCGCCAAGCCCCAAAGTGTCAGTCCCAAGCGACTGCTCTATGGCGCCATACCCCCGCCACCCGTTTGTGCTGCTCCTGTTCAGTATATTGCCGCCAACTCGCCGCTGATGCAGACGGGCGTGACGGGCTTCCTAAATGGCGCCGGCGCAACGGCCGGACGTGCACCCCTGCAGCTATCCTACTACGGAGTACCGAGCACTGCCCCACAAAATGCCGCCCAGCAAGCGGCCCCAGTTCCCATCGCCTCCGAATCTTACGAACCACAAACCGCTCCACACAGCCAAAGCCAGCTGCAGCAGCAGTTGCAGCAGCAGCACTTACAGCAGCAACAGCTGCAGCAGCAGCAACTGCAGCAGCAACAGTTGCAACCACAAACGTCGCAGCTGCAACAACCGCCAAATGCAGCCGGCGCCTACTACGGCGAGGTCATGCACACTGTGCAGGTGAGTGGCGTGGCCATGACTGGGCAACATTTTGACTATCTACAAAACTGAAGATAATAATGAGAGAGAGATGGTATTAGGCTAGGTTGGTAGTGCGCTTAAGACCTTAATTTATAAAGACTGAGCATACGAAGCTTTGAAATACTCTGTCCTACAACCTCTTATATATATTGATGATATTGATTGATATTGATGATATATACTCTAATAATATCGAAGACTCTTTGGTATATGGAAAACGTCATTTCCAGCATTAGCTATATCTTATAGAGAACTATACATTATGACCTGATTTCCAAGACCTTTATGCTTTAATAAGGTATATTTCACGAAGACATCATAGTCTTAAGCATAGTTAAAGATACCATTTGATATGAATTGATATGAAAACTCTATGAAATCAGTTATATCCATCTCAATCCTAATTCAGACATACCCAACGAACTCAGGAACTCTAGTAGCTAGCGATACGTAATAAGCTGTACCTGAACCTATACAAAATGATTAATAAAATTCTATCCTTAACAGCCCGCGCCACCCACGGAATACAAATTTCCGCCGGCAATTAGCGTGCAGAGATTGGCGCCTCAGGTGCAGCGGCAGCTGCGCGAGACGCAGGAACTCATAAAAGACTCGTGCCCGCAGCTGTATGCGGCGGGCTATGGGAGCCCAGGACCACCGATACGCAATCCCAACAGGAATCCAACTAGAACTAGACCCACCCTGGAGACGCAGTTCTCGCAGGAACTCTCGTGATATCTATATATGTAAACAGCAAGCAGAATCCCCTAGCAAACAACTAAAAAAAACAGAATTAGTCAACTGCGCCAAAGAACAAAATTAAGCAAAATTAACAACCAAAAAAAAAAACAAAAAAAATTTAATTATAAAAAATACATAAGAAAAAAAACGAAAAAAATCGATAAAAATTGTAAAACTGCACTCAATGTTTCAGTAATCCTCCTTGCCCCAATTGGGTAGTTAAGAGCCCCCAAAACGATAACTTAGAACAGCAACAACTACTACTACTGAAAGTTATGCGAATCAGGAATAAATTGCATTATAACTATATATATATATATATGTATATATATATAGACACACCCCCAAGTAATCAGCAGGCAGCCAAAGAGCGAGGGAGATAGAATGCCAGACAAATAGTTTAAGGATCGAGTATATAACAAACACTTTACACTTTATGCTATGTATATGTACGAGAAGCAAGCCCAGATGTTAGCAACTTACAAAGGCAACACAAAGAAACAAAAACACAAATAAAACAAACACAACAAAAATGACTTCTACATTCTCACAATTTTGTTAGTCATAATCACATTCATCGTGTAATTTTTAAAAATCAATTCTGTAAAATGTGTGAGGTAAAGAAATTGTCAAGAAAACCCAAAAACAATGAGAAAACTTGAAACTGGATCGATGGATCGATTGATGGACGGATGATAGCCACTAATTAGAGATCATTTCAATTAATGACAATGATGATGATGATGATGATGACGATGGTGATGCTGTCTAGTAATATTTGTATACTTTAGTTCTATTTATTATTATGATAATTTTGGATGTATGATAGTTTTTCTTATATAAAAAATATATATATATTTAAAAATGAAAATAAATGCAAATCAATTAAGTTAAGAGCCGCAATTGATCATTAATCAGCCGGAGGAATCGTAAGTGAAAAGCAATCATTGCTGTTTTAATTAACTCCTTTATTCATAAGTTGTAAATCAATTCATAAGTTTACATTAAATGGAATTATACATTTTAGTTATTTTTTTTTCTTTTCTTGTTCTTGTTGTTATTGTTTTGTGAAATTTGTTGTGAAGTTTCAGCTAAGCAATTAGACTAGTCACATAATATGGTTTAAGACGATGTAATACGCATTTGATTCTAAGAAATTATCATATTTTTTTGTCTCTGTTTCAGTGTCGCTTGGAGCATTGCAAATTACAAATTTTGCATTTTAAGATTGAATAGGATTATTCGAGAATAGTTACAGAAATCAAATACGCTGGGGCCAATTAAAATCTAAATGCCAAAAAATCAATTGGCAACCGAATTGCCCAAATGTCTGACTAAAACAAATGCCTAATAACTATATGTTTTGTGAGTCTGTTTGTGTGTATGAAAGTGTTTATTTGTAGATGAGTGTGCATGTGTGTTTTTACAGGTAAACGAAAAGCGAATTTATCAAACTGCAAGCGTATTTGATTCCAGTTTAAACCATATTATACTGCTAATATGTGTGGGCGGAGGAGATCTATACGAGTCTGGGACCTTAGAAGGTGTCTAAGACGTGAATATACTCGAAGTTTCATACGCTGATGTGCACGTTTTCTTTTGTCTGTACGTGGAAGTGTCGGTGTCTGTGTTTGTCTGTGTGATTTTATGTGAGTTTTTTTGTGTTGGAAAGGAAATTATATTCGAGCGAAAAGAAAGATAGATCCTTAAGGGATCTAGCCTTTTTAAGCTCGTACAATTTGGCGTTACTGTTAAGTTTAGTTTTGTACGGGTAATGGTGGTGGTGGCATCACGTACGGCATTGCATATGGGGCTCGATAGGCGCTAGCCGCTATGCTGGGAGCACCTCCATTCAGGGATACTGTGGCCATGCTAGTGGACATGCTCGTATACTGTCCGTAAGCCTGTGGTGGCAAAGCAGCTGCTCCACCAACTGGCAACTGCTGTGGTTGCGGCTGTTGTGGTTGCTGTTGCGACTGCTGCTGCTGTTGTTGCTGCTGCTGCTGCTGTTGCTGTTGCTGCTGTTGCTGTTGTTGGTGTGGAATGGGTGGTGGCGGCATATTGAAATTCAAAGCAAAGCGAGAGCGTTTTTGTTCGATGCCATACCCATAGCCAGCAGCAGCTGCTGCTGCTGCCTGAGCTGCGGCCAAATGCTGTGGTTGCTGATGTTGCTGCACACCCGAGACCTGTGTCTTGGGCTCAAAGCAAGCGGCATTTGGATTGAAACGTGAGAACTGCACTCCATTGGATTGCTGTGACGGTTGTTGTTGTTGTTGTTGCTGCTGCTGCTGCTGTTGCTGCTGCTGTTGATAGCCACCGCCCGATGGACGATAACCAACGCCTGAAGCAGGCGGCGAAGTACGCGATCCCTTCTGATCATAGCGCGGCGGACCAGCTGGATTGTAGCCGTTGTTACCATTGCCATTTCTATTCATATTGTTACTGTTGGCGTTTTGGTTGTTGCGATAGTTTCCGGCACCGGACATTTGAGAATTACGCCCCTGATATCCACCAGTATTACCGCGATAGTTCATTCCACCACGTTTCTGATAGCCACCACTAGCAGCCATGTTCATTAGCTTCGGATTAATGGTCTAAGAGGGGGAGATGCATTCATAAGAATCGAAATGTTGGTATTCTTGGTACTCAATATTTACCTGATTGGCCTCGCGTAGCACCTGAATCAAATCATTAGCCTTGTTGGCATTGGAGTGTGTGAACAGGGTGTATGCAGTGCCCGTATTATTGGAACGTCCGGTACGCCCGATTCGGTGCACATAATCCTCCGAGTTCGAAGGATAATCATAATTGATCACAAACTTGACATCGTCAACGTCTGTTTAGCGTTTCGATTTGAAAATTGAAGAAGTTTTCAATATGTTAAACACGTTTTACAAATTATACGTTTTTCTTTGTTTTTCTCAATACATACTCAAGAACTATAAACAAAAACAGAAACTTATGTGTGTTTTTCTTTTTATTTTTGTTTTGTTTTTTTTTTTTGTGTTTTTTGCTAAACTTAATATAAGCACTTGAATTTGTAACTTGTTTTGCAATCGTTTTATTTTCTCTACATATTTTATGGTTTGATTTGAACAAAAATTTCGCCATCAATACTATTTAGCGTATATTAACAACTATACATCTTTGGCAAACAGATATATGTTTTTTCTATACTGCAGAAATGTGGACCTCGACCTTTGTGTTCTCATTCTTATATCTTTTTTTCATTTTGAAATACACAAATCTTTATTTTAATATATATATACTTTTTTTAAGCTTAATGCATACAAGAGACGGCTTGATTAAACTTAAGATGTAGGTTTTATAATAAGAATGTGATGAGTGGGTGCTAGGAATCAGAGTTAGTCTTCATGGGTGTAGTTGGGGCTGGGGGAATGGAGTTGAAGGAGGGAGGGTGCGTCATTTAAGTTGTTAAGACAAAAAAGTGATGAGTGTGGGTAAGTGAGTGAGTGAGTGAGAGGAGAGAGAGAGAAAGAGTTGGTTCATAATTAGCCTAGTACTTACCCCGTGTGCGATCTATGATTAGATATTAGATAGGGCTTACGTAATAAATGTTGTTACGGCTCTGTTGTTGTTGTTTCGGTTGTAGCTGTTGTAGATGTAGCCTGGGCACGGAGCTTAATTGATGAGAGTTCCGCGTTGCTAAAAACTTAAGAATTCAACCCTCAACTTGTATATAAAGCTTAACTTTTTTGTATCTGTTTTGTGTATACAACTTTTTTTCATTTAACATTTAACTTATTTTTTGTTATGGTTTTTCATTTTTCTATTTTTTTTTTACTTTTGCCATATAAAAATCGAAGTCCATTTCAAAAAGTGCTGATGATATTTTTGTTCACACACAAATTTAGGTTTTATACATATAGGAGCGACGTAATATACAATATACATAATACTTTTATAATAAATACAAAATAACTACGAAAATAAGCATCAGTCAAAAATTTCTTGGCCGCAAAATATATCGCTAACTCTATTTTTTAATTTTTAGATCCGAATTAAAACTTAAAAAAAAAATAGTAAAAAAATAAATAAAGTTTACAACTTTTTAAAGAACTGGGCATTCCTTTAAAGTTAGCATTCAAAATAACTTTTGAGCGAACTTTCAATATTTAAATACCATTGTAGAGGATTTGTCTTGAAAGTAGTAATTCATATAAAGTAGTAGACCTCATAAGTTCGTATATATAATAATAATAAGTATCAATAGTCAAGTCAATCTAGTCATGTCCATCTGCCCATTAGTCTCTATCCGCAATTAATCGGAAACACAACTTTAACCTTATTTAAACTCGACACCATCTACAAGGGTATTTCATATTCGGCTAGCCGAAGAACCCGATTTCTTAGTCGTTTTATTCTTGTTTCTGATTAAGTTACTCGTATTTTGCTAAGCCATTGAGTCCTTGACTGACAACATATTGCATATGGTATGTTAGGTTACTCAAGTGTAATTTGACGAAGCACAACTAAAGACTAGATAGAAAAACGTAGAGCAACGAACTAAAAACACAATAGAGTACATATATGTGGAATAAACTTCATATAACCAGCAAAATGCAGGGAGAACACATTCCCCTCATTATTATTTCGACCACACCATTTTTTAGATATTCTTAATGGTTTTTTTTTGGAACAGTAAAAGTAAAAGTTTTAAGCGAAAACAATAAATAAAAATCAAAATCAAAATAAAAATATCTTTCGATGCTTCGCCGTACGGAAGCAAACGGGAGGAGAGTTCGGGGGATGGGGGAGAAGAGTTAGACATGCAATGCACAAATTAACCTGTAAATGCACAAAGGTCAACTTATCTCACTCGAGCGGTGAGAGAGAAGCGGAGAGTAAGAGAGTGTGAAAGAAAAGTGAAAGCGAAGGAATGAGAGAGAAAGAGTAATAGGCTGGTCGGTGTTGGCCGATTCATCGCTGACGGTCGCTGCCAGACGACGACGACGACGAATCAAATAATGAAACAAAACCATTTTGGCATTTGGCATTTTGGGCATGTTGTTGATCCACAGCAACACTTGCTCGGTTATTGGTTATGGAGCGCATCAAAAAAGACAACAGAGCAGCTTGGCATTAGCCAGCTGCTGGCGCAAAAGCTACGAAACACTCACCCAATCCGCGAGCGGCCACATCGGTGGCCACCAGTATGGAGTGGCGTCCATTGCGGAAACTGGATAGTACAAAGTCGCGTTCCTGCTGCGACTTGTCGCCGTGAATGGCACACGCACGCCAACCCTGACGCGATATATTGCGTGTTATCTCATCCACACGCTTCTTAGTCTCCACAAATATGATGGTCTTGGTCTCATTCTCGCCAGAGATTTGGGTTAGCAACTGTATTAGCTTAACAATCTTTTCCGACTCATCACAAACATCGACAATCTGGAGTATATTGTGATTGGCGCTCAACGATAGGGAGCCAATGTTGACCTGAATGTAATTGTTGAGAAACTCCTCGGCCAACTGACGCACCTCCTTGGGCCAAGTTGCGGACCACATGAGCACCTGACGATCTGGGCGAATCTGTTGCATAATTTTACGAATTTGTGGCTCAAAGCCCATGTCCAGCATGCGATCGGCCTCGTCCAACACCAGATAGGTGCAGCGCTTTAGCGAAGTGGTTCCGCGCTCCAAGAAATCAATAAGGCGTCCGGGTGTCGCAATGACAATTTCCACGCCTCGCTCCAAGTCACGAGCTTGCTGACCCTTGGGGGCACCGCCGAAAATACAAGTGTTGCGCACTTGCGTGTTAGACCCAAACTCGCTGGCTACCTGCTGGATTTGCTGGGCCAACTCTCGTGTGGGTGCAAGTACCAAAGCGATTGGACCATCACCACGTTCCAAGCGCGGCTGATTGTTGATGTGAACCACAGCGGGGAGTACATAGGCCAATGTTTTGCCCGAGCCAGTTTGGGCCACGGCCACTAAATCACGTCCGCTCAAAGCGATGGGCATACCCTGCGCTTGAATAGCCGTGGGCTTGGTAAAGCCCTGTTTACGTATCTCATTCATTACATAGTCAGGAAAGCCACCTTCTTCAAACTCAATACTTGGAGTAGGTACCTCATTGCCTTTAATAGTTATCTCATTACTGCTCAAGAAGTTTTCTGTTTCCCCTTGAGTACGAGCCAACACAGATTCACAAGGCTTATAAAAATTCTTGCGGAACGGCGTGAGCGACACCTCAGCCCAAATTATTGATGGCAAATGAGCGCCATGGGTGGACGTACGATTATTGTTCTGACCACCACCGAAACCTCCTCCGTCGCGTCCTCCTGGGCCGCCAATATTCATGCGACCTCCATTGAAACCACCTGCACCGCCTCCGCCGGGTCCACCGCGAATGTATGGAGCCGATCTATTACGCTGGAACATTCCAGCACCGCCGCTAGCGCCCATACGATTGTTGGGCATGCCACCGGTTGGTGCACTACCCATGTAACCATTTACCTGTCCGTTATACCTGTAACGATCGTTGTTTGCCATTAATTACAATTTTGAGCATCAAAAGTAATTCCAAACTTTATTTTCTACTTTTCGATGTGATTTTCACTAGCTACTCTCTCTACCATTTTGAGTTATCGATTTTTAGCAAATGTTTAAGAAAATTTTTTACCCCACTGCAGCAGCTTTTTACCACATGCAAGTTTCTCCGCCGAAAACAATGTAAATTTGATGTGACCCCAATGCAACTAATTGTTACTTACATGTTCATATTTATCAGCACTTAAATTGCACAATTATTTGCCAAATATTATATCTTTTTTCACTTTTTTTTGCAATTTTCACTTCACCTTACAATTTTCCAGGTTTGCACCTACGTCAGTATTAGAGATGAAAGAAACTGCTGGCTTATTTATGCTTGATATCGGACATTTTCGATATTTGTAAATCAAAGCAACTCTGTTATATACAAATATAGTAATAAGGTAGTAGAGTGACACTATTGGTTGTTGCTGAAATGGAATGAAACATTCACCTCGTTGAATTTTTAAAGGTTTCACCTGTTAATGTTGAGCAAATTGATATTTAAAACAATATTGTTTTTTTTTGTTTGTGCCAAACATTATATTTGCTTAAGTAGTTATATGTGTAAGCAACTTAATCGCAAATATGTGAAGTGTCACTCGACCATTATTTAGATTTGTTTTCAGATTTTAATAAATATGCGCACCAGCTATAAAAAGAATCGTCCATTTGATTTCAAGCTCATCGATCATGTCGAGCCTAATACCGTACTGTATAAACGCCAGACGGGACTTTCGAACTATGATGTTATGAAAGTTAAAACAGAGATATGGTCCAAAATAGCAGAAATCATGGATTGTGATGGTAAATTGTGGTATTCCTTAGTCAACTAGCAATAACAATGAATTTCTTTCCAGTGGATTTCTGTCTAATGCGCTGGAACAATTTACACTATCAGTATCGCAAGGAATCCAGGCGACCTGGCGGTTCAACCTGGCCATATTTTAAGCGATTACAATTTTTAACCGATGCACAATCGCGAGCTAAGGTCAAGCCCAAGGCTGAAAGGCAGCCGAACGTAGAGCTAAAGGAATCCATTGTAGATCAGGATGCATGGCAGTCGTATGAAGATTGCGTGGTGATGCATGTCGCCGATGTGGACCAGCATGGTGACAATACATTCATTATTGAGGAAATCATTGAGCAAAACGATCAAATTCTACAAGAAGAAATCGTTTTTGAGGACGAGGGTGCGGTAGAAGAGCAGCATGTGCAACCTAGCATAGAACCCAAAGCTAAAGAAAGGTCAACTCTGGCTGCAGACACGTCACCTACAAGCGATTATATACAAATGAGCCGAATTCTCGGGCAACTGAAAGGAGTACAAAAAATGCGAGCGGAACGTCGAATTTTGGCCTTCCTGCTCAAATGCCAGCTGCGAGCTCTGGTGGACGAGCCTATTGACGATCTGATTATTTAAATATTAGACTTAGTAGTGTAAATAGACCTTTAATAAACAAACTAAAAGAAAAAAAACATTTTCTATGCATCCACTTTGCACTTGTCCAGATCATGCCAAGCCACGTTTGGCTTTGTTATGAACTGATCGCGACTTAAACTATCCAACATAAGTGCCTGTTTCCTCACATACTTGACCAGACGCTCAATTTGAGCGTAATCCTCACAATCCATTTCGAAGAAGCGACGCCAAAGAGCAGATGCCAGCACTCGGTCATCGGACATGATGCCCTCGTCGTAGGCAATGAGAGCGGCCTGAAACTGTTCCGAGAGAGTCTCAATTTGCTTCCTCGTTTGAGAGGGATTATTGGCCTGCAGAGCAAATAAAACAAGATTAGACGACGATCTAAGTAGAGCTACAACACTTACTCCCAGTTTCTTGGCACGTGTATTTACATCTCCCCACATTGCCTCGACGATACAGTTCCTCAGGAACCGTCCATCCTCGCCAGTTTCTGATCCTTCGGCCATTGAACGCAGCATAAGCAGCCAGACATGCAACTCAGTGACTAGGAACCAGGAGTTAAACGTGTTGGGCAAATTAAAATCGCGAAAGAAGGCAACGTAGTTGATCTTGTCCGCCACACTCTCATACAGGAGATGACTCGTAACCTTGAGGCGCTGCAACAAGTTTATTTATAAGATTTTTCTCTCATGAATTCTTTATTTATAGTACTCACGGCTTTTGTATTGGGCGTAAAGCCCACTTTGTTGAGAACACGTTTCAATATGCTACCATCTTCCGTAGCTTGTTTTGTTGTTTTTCCCGGGCTGTCCACAACACCAGTGGAACAGAGTCGACATTGCTCAGTGAATCTTACTGCCGCAGCTGCTGCCACTCGATGCGTATACGTTTGGTGCGCTACCTGTGGGATAAAAACAACCGTCAGTGTGGTTTATATAAGAGTGGTGCAGGTGCAGTTGCATACAGCACTGAAAGGCATTAAGCTTTGTGATTGCATTCGTTTACATACAAGTCCTGATGTGGTCAAGACACTTCCAAGCCTCGCAGCTGCGCGTGTGCACAACATGCTTTAATTAAACTGAATTATAATTGTTTAAAACGAAACGCAGTGCTCCAATAACATGTGGTGCTGCCAACTCTATCAAAACCAATTCCGGCACTTAGGTAAACAGCTGCTTTAACAGCCCACAGGCGTCTTAACAGAGCCGCTCAACCGCTGTAAGCAGCTGAGTTAACAGAGTTATGACCAGAACTTTCAATTCATTCGTGAAATTGTATAAAATTAATTAGAACAAATTATGCTGCGTTTAAGTTCTCAAATATGCAAGCAAAGCATTACGCTGCAACGTCTGCCTAGCAGCATAAACACAATAAACACCATCAGGCTACAATTGGTCACCAGAAAGATGACACAACAGCATCCAAAAATTGACTTCACAACGAGCATTCCGATTGCCAAGAAAAACAAGGATAAAATCACAGCGCTTGGTTGGTTCCTACTCGTAAGTAAGCTGATGACTAGCCTTGCATTTACTAATTGTCCTATTGCAGCTCATACCCGCCACGACATTTGGCCTAGGCGTTTGGCAAGTGAAGCGGAAATTCTGGAAAGAGCAGCTAATTAGGGATTTGGATAAACAGATGCATATGGAGCCAGTTAGTCTGCCCGATGAGTGAGTGCAAATGCTGGGATCGTTGGCCTATAATTGTGACTGTTTTACTCCTTTACTTAGCTTAAGTGAGCTAACACAAATGGAGTATAGGTTGGTTAAGCTGCGAGGACGCTTTTTGCATGACAAGGAGATGCTGATGGGACCCCGCTCACTCATCCGACCAGATGGAGGGGAAACACAAGGTGGACTGTTCTCACAGCGCGATTCGGGCAATGGTTACCTCGTAGTCACGCCGTTCCAGCTGGCTGACAGGGAGTAAGTCACACAAATACGATAATTATAGAAATATAATATTCCCATAATTCGTTTGCTCTTCCATAGTGACATTGTCCTGGTTAACCGAGGCTGGGTCTCACGCAAGCATATGGAGAAGGAGACACGTGCCTTGGGTCAGTACCAAGACGAAGTGGAGTTGACGGCTGTTGTACGCCAAGGCGAGACTCGTCCACAGTTTACGCCAGATCACAAAGATGGCAAAGTCTACCTCTATCGCGACTTGCAGAGGATGTGCAAGAGCTCTGGCTCTGCGCCCATCTTTCTCGATGCGATTTATGATCCAAAGGCGGCGGAGAATAGTCCCATAGGTGGACAGACACGCGTTACTCTTCGCAACGATCATCTCTCGTATCTGGTTACCTGGTTCAGCTTGTCGGCAGCTACCTCATACCTGTGGCACCGCCAGATTGTTAGGAGAATACCGTTTTGATTTATCAATTTCTGAATTGTTTATTTTGTTATAAAATTTACATAATATGTGTAAATGCTTGTTCAATGATCAATTGGTACAGAAAAGTAGCTCCTGTATATAGTGAACTAACTGGGCAGTCCGTTTGCAACGGCAATGTTTGTATATTTATATATTGCAACTGGAACGACATTTGGTTGTAGGAATAGATGTGGGAATACTTAGGCGTATCTAGCGAAATACTTGAACTATTTATATATATCATTTATATAAAAAACACAAAAGCATATTTACAGTTAGTTTCGTAAATACTGGAAATTGTTGACAGATTTAAGTCTTGATGCCACGCCCGCTTTTCTACAGCTGCGGCACAATGCCCCACGAGCGGAGAAGTCCGGCCCGCTGATATTTCTTTCCAATCGTCTGCACATGAAAGCCAATCTGCAGCAGACGCTCGTGATCTAGAATTTTGCGTCCATCGAATATGTATGCCGGTTTCATCATCGACTGATAGATGCGCTTGTAGTCCAGATCCACAAACTCGTCCCATTCAGTGCACAGGACCAGAGCGTGCGTGGCTCGCACTGCGCTATAGGGATCGCTGTGTATTTGAACCGCCTTCTTTACGTTCTCTGGAGATTCCGTTACGCTGGGATGCGTTAGATCGTCAATGATTTGCTCCGGCTCCACCTTGGGATCGTAAATTTCCAGCTTAGCGCCCTCCTCCAGCAGCGTCTGGCAGACGGTAATCGCTGCCGTTTCGCGCGTATCGCCCGTGTTCTTCTTGAAGGCAAAGCCAAGGATTGCAATCCGCTTGTCCGACACCGTGTTGAACAAACTCTCGATGATCTTCTGCGAGAAGCGGCGCTTCTGGTAGTCGTTCATGTCTATCACCTGTTGCCAATAGGCCGCCACCTCTGGCAGGTTGAGGTTCTCGCATATATAGATCAGGTTGAGTATATCCTTCTGGAAACAGCTGCCGCCAAAGCCAACAGAGGCTTGCAGGAATTTGGAACCAATGCGCGAGTCCAGACCCACAGCACGTGCCACTTCCGATACATCCGCTCCGGTTGCTTCGCACACAGCCGACAGCGAATTGATGCTGGAGATGCGCTGCGCCAGGAAGGCATTGGCCGCCAACTTGGAGAGCTCACTGCTCCACGTATTGGTGGTCAGTATATGCTTCTTTGGTATCCAATGCTCATAGATCCACGACAGCTTCTCCACCGCCTGATGACCCTCGGCCGTCTCCTCGCCGCCAATCAGAACGCGATCCGCATTCAGCAAATCGTTAATGGCGGTGCCCTCGGCCAAGAACTCCGGGTTCGAGAGTATATCATAGTGAATGCCTGGCTTCTGGTTTGCCCGCAATATATGCATAATGCTCTCCGCAGCACGCACTGGCACCGTGCTCTTCTCCACAACGATTTTGTTGGACTGCGCTATCTCGGCTATCATGCGTGCTGCACTCTCCACATACTTCAGATCCGCAGCTCGGCCTGAAAGTTGATATAGTCTAATTATAGATCAGAGACCCAACAGCAGGGAACCCAGCACTTACCCTTGCCACTGCCGCAGGTCTTCGTTGGCGTGTTCACCGATATGAAAATCAGATCAGCTTCTTTTATGGCTGTCGTTATGTCCGTGGAGAAAAATAGGTTCACATTGCGACACTTCTTGACCACCTCATCGAGACCGGGCTGCGGTGCAAAAGAAACGCATTTAGTATCAAAAAACTATAAATACATGAAATATTTGCTGAGTTGGCGTTAGGCAAACCCAACAAACCGAGCGATCATTCATCTGAATGGGTTAAACGATAAGATTATTGGCTTCTGTCGTTTCAAGCTAATCTTATCTAATAATGTTATTCTTTTTTTAGATATCAAAACATTTTATATATATATATATATATGGAACAAATAGATTCAGACATTCTTATGCTTTTCTTTTAAGCAATTTGGTAACTTTCCAGAGGCCATCAGGTTTGCATTTTAATCAGAATTGTGGTTTATTGAACCTTTTACATGATAATTTTCAACAAGAAGAAGCAGGCGCTAAATAATATGGAAGAAGAAGAAACAGCAAATGCTGAATCAGCGCAAAAATCTATTTGTAATCAAATCAATTCAATTGCTCAACTAATTTAAGTATTATCTTTTATTATTAATGAAGCTCCCGCTATCACTTAGACATATCGATCATCACATGCAATTGGTAAACAAATTTCAAGTTTGTCTTTTATTATTACTGAAGTTCTCCATCTGCGCTGATAACTGGCAAACAGCAAATGCAATTAGCGTATTTGCACGTTCTAACGAATTGCAACAATCGAGTTGGCACCTGGGCAAATATGTGCACAGAGCTACCTGTGCAAGAAACTATCAATGCAGTCAGTGTCAGCAATATCAATTCTTCTTTATCGCCCTCTCTGTCTCTCTCCTCTCTCCTCTCTCCCTCTCTCATTATTTATGAATATTTCTAAAGTATTGCACATGCAATGGCGATGATGCAATCGTGCTGAGGTGGCCATCAAATTATAGAGACATAAGAGATGTTTAGGTAGAGCCTTGGCCTATTGACAGATATACTCTACGGAATAAATAATATTTACTCTAATGCTACAGTCGCTGGTAATGGACAACCCGTTTGTAATGGTTGAAAAAGTGTATTTAATTTTTTTTGCTTTCATGGCACTCGCTAATTATCCAGCACGAACTGATAACGGAACAGAACTCTGCTGCTTATCTGGCTCACAAGACGTAATGTGAACGGGCTGATAAGGATTGGGGTAGTAATAGGGCGCGGGCGGAAACGGGTCTAAAATATCACACAAAAAAAATAAATAAAAAACTAAAAGCGAAAACGGAAATGCGACAACAAATAGGAGTAAGCAGGAAAGAGAAACATGTGTGACTTGTGGCAGCTTTGCCGCAAAGGGCTTCCCACTTGGCAGAGTAGGTCAAATCGATATCAAAATCTTGTACACTAGTGTAATTATTTGGCAAGTGAGCACACGTATTTGCGTGTGTGTGCACCTTATGAATGACTAATGAATGCTCGCTGTCAGCATGTGAAGTTCACTTCTCTGCTGGGCGGCAGAGGAGAGTGACCATTGACCTTGCCGCGCACCAATTGTGTGTTTCGCAATGATCAGGTGCCCTCTCTATTGTTGAGCGGCACGCAGTCACACGCACTGCCTTAGATCGAGAGGGCTAGAAAGGTGCGCGCTGTATACAAATCACTGTTCAAGCAGTTGGGGAACTGGTTTCAGTCTTTAACTGTTTGTCAGACGGCGGCTGAGCTACTTGAAACATGGGCAAGAGAAGTTCATCGACGTCTGGGCACTTGTATCTGTGGCACTGATTGATGTGTCTGCTGTTTGTTTAGGAGATCTGCTAGAATTTACTATTCATTTCTTGTACAGCACGAGCGTGATAGATCTCTAGCTCACAAACACGCACACAATCACTGAATTTGTTCACGTACACACAGACTCACGCACACACACACACACACAATGCGCATACGTTAGTGCATCTGTAGATTTGCAACTTAATTTGAACTCGGAGTAACATGATCATCAACTGTTCAGCAATAACATAAACTAACCTCGTAAATGGGCAATTTCTCCGAATTCCATTGTGCGATTCTCTCGGCACTTTTATCGACCAGCGTTATGGTTATATCTGGACACTTCAGTGCCATTACCGCACATGTTGGGCCGCCGACATAACCAGCGCCAATGCAGCAGACCTTCATTGTTGATCCAAATCGATTTTACAACACCCACACACACAAATAATTTAAAATAACGCCCGGATGTGCAGAATACTCTCGTCAAATTACGCTCAACAACTTTTTAAAACAACAATACATATGAACGCAAATATTTAATGCTTCCTCGACGGCGTCTGAATAACATCTGTTAACAAAAAGTCCAATCAGACTGTAAAAAAGCCAAACTGCTCAGCGGTGTTGGCGAGCTGTTAGACACCCTTTACTCCATTTAAGTCAATTTCAAATGGTTTCAAATGCAAAGCTTTTAAGCTATTAGTTCTCATAAATTAGATTTTTTTTGTTAAATATAAATGCACTTCTGTTAGTAAGTATACAATTGTATAAGGCAATAAAAAGCAAAGGTTTCGCATACTGACCTTTCGATTCGGTCACACTTAATCGATTTCAAACGTATATAAGAGTTAAAGCGTAGTTTATGTTAGCTTTTATTATTATTGTTTAACTGTGTATACCCCACATTGTCCTATTTCAGTGGTATTAAATAAATCTTAATCTCTACATATAACATTTGCTGTTAAATTTTCGTTTTAGTAGTCCACTGTAAACACTAACGTAATTATGTTAAGAGTGGTCAGCTAACAGCACAGTTGTTGACTAAGAACAATCGATAACGATTACGTTAACAGCAACTGTTGGCGCCTTGTTTTTAAAACTAATTATCACAAGGAAAATTGGACAGTTGGCTTTGGCTTTTTAAAACTAATTATCACAAGGAAAATTGGACAGTTGGCTTTGGCTTTTTAATGGCTACATTTACAAATTATTTCTCGGTAAATCTGTAGGTTATTTAAAAATTTAGTCTCCCCAAAATTTCATCGTTGCTGTTTTTGCTCTAAAAGCCATGCTTCAGTTATTAAAAGTTGCGAAATGGCCGAGTTTGGCACATCGAAGGGTTCCAACACCGAACATCGCGCACTTTCGTTGTATGGCCAGTGAACCAAAAAAGCCAGACGACAGCAAAAAATGTAAAAAAGAAGGTAAGGAAATATTTTCATTTATGAAATAAACGTTTGCGAATTCTAATTGTTGTAGCTGAAGGCAAGGCCAATAAAGCAGACAGCAAGGAGAAGGACCACACTAAGATTTCTGGTGGAAGCAAGTGCACCTCAAAAAAAAGGTCGGAATTGGGCTCACCGAACGAAGACAAAAATGCTGATCAGAAGCTTTGCGAAAAACTGATCGTCAGACGTGAGGAGGCAAAGGAAAAAGCAAAGGAAATGGCAGAAAAAAAGGCACAACAAAAAGAGAAGGAAAAAGAGAAGGGAGGAGCTGTGTGCGCGAGTAGTCCGGTCTCTCCACCCCCGAAATGTCCGTGCAAACCTTGCCCCGAACCACGTAAGGCCGTCAACAAAGTATTATTTCAACGTTAATTAAAGCCATTAACCCTTGTATTACCTAGAGCCTTGCGACGGCCACTCAAAAATATGGCAAAGGATCACCTTGATGGGTGCATTTCCGATAGTAGTCATACTGACGGCCTTTGTCTTTTCCTCCCATCACGAGGCCGAGCGGCCCGAATTTAAACAATGGTCTCACTTGTACTTGCGTACAAAGCCATTCTACTTTGGCGACGGAATCAGGAGTCAATTCCACAATAGTTACTGGAATCCTCTGCCTCCGGATGGTTATGAGGATGAGATCGACTTAGAAGCTCTTGGTAAGAAACCCGAATCGGAGCAGGAAAAGGCAGAGCGGTTAAAAGAATTCGACAGTTTGAATAAAAAGTGGAAGAAACATAATAAAAACCGAGAAGCCGAAGCTAAGAAGCGACAGGCCGCTGCTGAAAAGGAAGCCAAAAAACAGGAGAAGCTGGCTATGCAAGAAGAGAAAAAACAACAGGCCGAGGAGGCCAAGGAGCTGAAGCGACAAATGGCCGAAGCTAAGCGTCAGGACGCCGCAGTGGAGAAGGAGCGTAAGCGTCTGGAGGCCGAAGCTGAGAAAGATCGCAAGCAACAGCTCGCCTTTAGTGAAAAGGAGCGCAAACGACAGGAGGCCGAAGACAAAGAGGCCGCTAAAGAAGTCAAAGAGATGTACTATAATTTCAATCGGAATGGTGCCGCAGATGCTGGTGTCCAGGACTGAAACAGTGTGTGATATTTAAAGGAGCATGTTCCCAAAACATTTCGAATTTTATAAAAATTACAAATCACAAAATCTGCAATATGATACTAAATATATTAAGATAAAATAGGGGTTTTCGTATTCTTTCTTAAATGCTCTCTGTATTTCTTTTAAGCAAATGTAAATGTAGGAGGAAATAGAAAATCTAACATTTCCTCACATCCGGCACAATCTTGCACTCGACAATTGGGTCAGCGGCCTTAGAATCCTTCTTTGCGCATGGTGGACATTCGACACAGCAGAGGTCGTCCTTGGGCGTTGCTTTCAGCAGTCCATTGATATTCTCGCCCGGAATTGGTTTGACGCGAGTGCCGGAGTCGACACGTGACTGAACAACGGCTTTGCCCTTGGCCTGCGCCTTGGGCAGTTGGTAGCTGGGTCCGTCCGGGGGATTGGGCATGCCCCAATAATCCTCGGGCACATCCCAAATGATAAGTGACCCGTCCGTACTGCCTGTCACGAAATTCTTCCCACATGGACTGTATGCAGCACTAATTACGGACGAAGCATGCTCCGAGCCAACACCCACCACATCGCCGCTATTATAGTCCCACAACTTCACTTGCAGATCACTGCCAACGCTAACGAAATAGTCCCCGGTGGCATTCATGGAAAGACAGTTCACAGAAGATTTCTTCGAGGCGGTTAGCTCGCGTATCAGTGCGCCATTGTAGACCATCCAATAGATGATTCTGCCGTCGGAGCCGCAGGTGAGTATTTGCACTCCGGTGGGAAAATAAAGGACGGACATGAACTGCGTGTTGGCAGTGACCACCTGCTTGCGGGTCATCCGACTGATGTCCCAAATGACGCAGGAGCCATCTGTGCAAGCGGAAATTACTTCCGTATCCAGATAGTTGATGTCCAGTGAGGTAATAGGCCCCGAATGATCCTTCAGCACGCCCACTAAGTTTTGGCGATACGGCTCGATCTTCCACACGCGCACCTGACCCTCGATGCCGCCCGTGACAATAAAGCGGCCAGTTGATGCAATGGCCAAGGCACTGCAACCTAGGGAAACATCCAGATCGATGATAAAAGGATTACAGATTACGAATTAAAATTCACCCTTATTATGAGCATTCGGTATGGCATAGATAAGGCGTCCAGTAATGGGCGTAAAGGCGCGTATGATTCCGTCGTTCCATACGGACACAATGCTGGTTCCGTCCTGAGAGAAGCGCACAGCAGCACAGTTGAAATTATACACCATGATGCGCAGCAGCTCCTGCTTGCGATTTGAGGACCAGATGCGTATGCTCTCATGACCCGCAGTGGCAAAAACAGCTGCATAGTTTCTGCAATAGTGGGTAATAAGGAGAGAGACGGGACCGGAACTCTTTGGCTGGACCTACTTGGGAAATGTTATAAAGTAGACTGCCTTGGCATGACACGTGCGCATCAGCTTCAAAACCCAGGATTGTATATTCAGCATGTAAATCTCATTCGTGTCCGTGCAGATATAGAACTTCTCTGGCGTGCTGCGCACAAAGGACGAGACACGACCCGAGACCCGAGTTTTCTTAACCTTAAAGAGTAGAGACGCTTAGAAAGAACAGAACTCCAGAAAGCTCCAACTTAGGGCTTACCACGCGCAAGTAGGGCCAGGTGGGTCCTGGATAATCTCGGAAGTTTACTAATGGCACATCGGTGCGCTCCTCGACCAGCTCCACATCACCATTGCCAGCGCCAATTAGCAGACGCCCACCCTCCAGCACATAAAGGGCGCGGACGCCGTTCACATAGCGATTGCAATCGCGACCCGTGGGCTTGCGTGGATTGTGGGTGCCAAAGGCACCTAGAATGCCACTTGATGTACCCGGCCGGGTCACATTGTCCCTGTCGCAGCAGTTGAGTACGATCTTAATAATATCACCTGTGCCAGTGCCCAGGTACGCGAACTCGTCTTTCTTATCTATTCGGGCACAATAAAACGTGCGGGATTTGCTGGCCAAATGGACGTCTTGAACATAAAGCTTTTTCTGCTCACGCACAATGCTCCACAGTCGCAGATGACGATCACCGGCAGTGAGGAAGAAGAAAGGATTGTTATGCATCGGACGGACGGTTAGTGCATTACCTGAAATAGCACGCGAGGCAGCCTGTCGGCAAATGGGCGAGCTGCAAGTGGAGAAGAGAAGCGTTTGAGCAGGAAGCGGAATAGATTGATAGCAACTGTGGTATTTACAATGTTTGCACATCGAACACAATGACGGAGCCGTCGTCCTTGCCTCCAATGGATATAACAAAGCGTTCCTCGGCCGTAAAGCAAATGGCCTGCACCTTCACCTTGTGCAGATCGTGTCGTCCAAGCTCTTTGCGTGACTCATAATCCCATACGATGACGTAGCCACGAAAGCCCATATGGTTGATCTGACCAGAGGCGATGTACTTGCCGCTCTTGCTGACATCCAGGCAGGAGATGCTGTTTGTGTGACCGGCAACAAACTCTTGTGTGTTCTTGTTAAAATCGGCAATGGCTATTTTGTTGCCCAATGGAAAAATTGCAGCTTGTGTAACGGGATGCTGACGAACTCCATTCTCCACTTTGCCATTGATGCCGAAAATTGCTCGCGGCTGCAGCTGCTTACAGTCTTTTACCGGGTTCGCCATTATCATACACAAAATATATATTTAAGTTATGCTTTTGTAAGTTCTGGCTTGTTGGCGACGCTACACCGGCTGCTGACAATACTAACAGCAACTGCTTATTTTTTGTTTGAAAATTAAGCAACCGTTGCCTGGAAGCCGTTTTTAAACAAGGTGGCAACATCGTACTTTTCAAGCATGCTCTTTTTCACGCAAAGCCGCCGTGCCAATCTTCTGTTGACTCTGACAGCAGCAGCGAGAACTGCAGCACTGCGTAAATATACAGTGAACGCAGTGATTGTAACTAGGTGGCAACGCCCAACAACAGCCGGCAAATATAACATAAGCATAAAGAATTGGTACGTACAGATGTGTGCCTATATACAGCACACACACACGTACGCAAGCAGAACTATATAAGTTGCATTCTTGTGCCATTTTTACAGTTAGTCGAGCAAACAACGGTTGTGCTAATCAAATGACAGCTCACTTGACCTGAACTAAACAATAACAACAGCAGCAAAAAAAAAACAAAAGTCAAAGACCGGACGATTGTGATAAAGCTGAAATATGCTTCATCCCAAGGGATTGTGTCTGCCTCTGCTGGTGCTCGTATGCTTAATTGCGCAGTCCAGCAGCCTGGCCTTTCGAAACGGCCGCCATGTGAACGGATTTTTGGGAGAACCAAGTATAATGGTCACCTTGCAGCGATCGCTAGATGTGGAGGATTTGTGGTTCGAGCAGCCTTTGGATCACCTTAAGAAAGAAGACACGCGCACATGGCAGCAGCGTTACTTTGTCAACGACGCCTTTTACAGGAATGATAGTCTAGCTCCAGTCTTTCTGATGATTGGCGGCGAGGCGGAAGCCGCCAAGAAATGGATGCACGAAGGTGCCTGGGTTCACTATGCCGAACACTTTGGTGCGCTGTGCATTCAGCTGGAGCATCGTTTCTACGGCAAGAGCCATCCGACCAGCGATCTATCTACTAGCAATTTGGCTTATCTCAGCTCGGAGCAGGCGCTGGCCGACTTGGCCAACTTTGTGTCAGCCATGAAGGTCAAATACAACATGGCCGCAACACAGAAATGGATTGCCTTCGGCGGCTCTTATCCCGGTTCGCTGGCTGCTTGGGCACGCGAGAAGTATCCGCATTTGATTGATGGCGCCATTAGCTCCAGTGGTCCACTGCTGGCTCAAGTAGATTTCACCCAATACTTCGAAGTGGTGAAGGCATCGCTAGCCAGCTACAAACCTGATTGCGTGGAGGCTGTGTCACGTGGGATTGCACAAGTGGAGATTCTGCTAAAGCACATGATTGGCCAGCGCAATCTCGACGAGAAATTCAAGTATGTTCTTAATTGTTCAAACGTTTATAGATAACTGAAAACTCCTTCTGTATTTTATTAGAACGTGCACGCCCCTTAAAGATTCGATCGAGAATCCATTGGACATTGCGAATCTTTTTGAAAATATTGCTGGCAATTTCGCTGGTGTAGTACAGTACAACAAGGACAACAGTCCGCATGCCAAGATAACCATCGATGAGGTAGGTGCCCGGATTGCCAAGCCAATCTCGAAGATCTAATGTCTTCCGCCTGCTTACAGATCTGCGATGTGATGCTCAATACATCAATGGGACCGCCTGTTACCCGTTTGGCCGCTGTGAACGATCTGCTGCTGCAGGAGTCAAAGACCAAGTGCCTCGACTACAAGTACGACAAGATGATAGCTGATATGAAGAACGTGTCGTGGGATTCGGAGGCCGCTCAGGGCATGCGTCAATGGACATACCAGACCTGCACTGAATTCGGCTTCTATCAGACTTCTGAGAACAAATCGGATACATTTGGCGATCGCTTTGGCGTTGACTTTTTCATACGCCAGTGCATGGACATTTTCTCGGATCGCATGAACGGCAAATATCTGGAACAGGTTGTGGCACAGACGAACAATTACTATGGCGCCCTTAAGCCAGCGACAACACAGGTGCTTTACGTGCACGGCTCCATTGATCCATGGCATGCGCTTGGCCTCTACGTCTCCACCAATAAAGACACGCCCGCAATCTATATTGAAGGTACAGAGTCGAAGTCCAAGCTGTTGTAATTTGATAATCAATTGAACATTTTTGCAGGCACCGCACATTGCGCCAACATGTACGAGCCGGCGAACAGTGATCCGCCACAGCTGAAACAGGCGCGTAACAAGATACTTAAGTACTTGGCCACATTACTGGACGGTTATGCCAACTTTGCGAGCTTCACATGAATTCAAAGTAACCAAAAATCAATTATGTGATCAAGCCGAAAGCAAAGGCAAAAGCAATAAATATATTAATACACGTTGGCATTGTACATGTCATGAAATTTGAGATTTATTAGCTTTGTTTAATGTTTTGCGTATCCTGTGGATATATATATATATATATAACAAGAGGTTTATATATATATACATATGCATTATATCATGCGTCACTTTCATCTGAATTTGATTGCTGTGCCTAATCCTTCTTGGCCTCCTCCATTTTTTCGTGGAATCGCTTCCAGTAGAATCTGACCGTTTTGTTCTGTACTATCTTTTCGTCGACAACACGAATTGTCCAGTTTGCCGTCAGAAAGAGAATATCATAAATGAATGCCAACGTTCGAAATATAAATTTCTCAACTTGTTCCTTGCTGGGCAAATTAGCGGCAGCATCTTGCAGATTTTTAATGGCATCGTCGACCATTTTATTTCCAGATCCGGACCCAGATCCAGTTCCAGATCCGGATTCAGTTCGTTCAGACTCTGATTGTCCAGTTGTCTTACCCTGGCCGACCACTTTGTGCGACGACTCTTCTCCCGTTGCCGAATACGACGACGACGACGATGCTGATTTCGGCGGTGGTGAGGACGACTTCGCTTCATTATTGCCATGCTTTCCACTATCTGGAACTAAGTGTGTGACATGCATTTGGGAAGTGACCGCGGACCGCTTACTAGCTGGCTTCCCATAGTCGCGTGTGGGGTCACTACCCAAAGTAGCCGACTGCGCATGTGCAATTGCATCACCGCCACCAACATTACCCAAACTGGCAGATTGATCCACGTTACCAATAATTCCAGTTGGGCCGCCGCGAATAGTACCTTTTATCTTGGAATCATCACTAGCATAGAAGCGTGCTAGAGGGCGGTAATATTGGAAACCGGAAATGCGTATCTTGTTTTGGGCTGTGATTGGAAAGTGTTAAAATAAAATCGTATCAAGTAAATTACGCGATACAGAAAAAGCGAGCTTACCAAAACCTTGGGATGAGAGCAGTGTAAGTGGAATCTTTCCACGCTGGCTGATCGAAATAACTGCGCGTAACATATTGTACAACTGAACCTCTGCTTTGATTTTATTTATTTATGTCCTACACAATATTAAACAGAGCTACTTCAACTACCTGAATATTTTACAAATGTAAGATTTTGTGAAAAAGAATTAACTCAACCTACTTCCACAAAAGTTGACAGGAAAAGAAGGCACTTCTCTGACGCAGGCACAAATTTACCAAAGTAGTGTTGAACAGTGTTGCACAACGATCTTTAGTGACAGTTGGCTTTAAAAGGACGCTAGCACACTGACTTAGTCAGCTTTAATTAACTTCAATCAAAAACGTGTTTTTTAGGTTTGTCTTTATTTAGGCTATTACTAAGAATATTAGTAAAATTTCTAGTTACATGTAGAGGGCTTACAAAAATTAGGCCCACGCACACTCTTTGTTATTTAATTATTTGTTTTTTTTTGTTTTTTTAGTGCGCTAAGCTCTTGGCAAATTCATGACAGTATTGGAAAACGTGCCGAAAATGCATTGCGTAAAAAATGAAGGAAAATAGTGTTGAAATTTCCCTCATTTTACGCCATGCAATTTAGTCACATTCATTGATTACTTTAATCTTAACTAGGCGCAAAGTTAGCTGACCACATTTGTGGGCTACATATCTGGACAGCCATCTTTACCAAGCTCCTGGCGTCTACTTTACAATGTGTTAAATTACATACATACAGTAGATACGTATTTTAATTGGTTCACTTATAGCATTTTTAATTGTTAACTTAATTAATTGCAGTTGGTTATTTGTTCCGCGACTACTGGCAACAAAAATCGGTTTTAAATATATATGTAAGTATAACTCAAGAGCTTGTAAAGCGTTTTCGTGTTTTATAGCATATACATATGAGTATATACGTAAAATACAGATTACAAATATGTGATTTTATGTTTATAGTTAATTAATTATAATATAATGGAAATGTTTGCGCGTTTTCCTTTAATACTAAGACGCACTCTAATCGCATAAACTGCTCTCACTTTCTTTTTCTCATCCATTAGAAAAGACCGATTTGTTTCAGATTGTTCTTGATGATGACATCGGTGACTGCATCAAATACAAATTTCACGTTGTTTGTATCTGTGGCGCAGGTAAGATGCGTATAAATTTCTTTTTGGTCTTTCCGTTTGTTGAGATTTTCAAATTTCATGCGTATATAGTTGGCGGCCTCCTCGAATGTATTTGAACCTGTCACAGACATAGAATATAAATATTACTATAAATTAACTTCAGTTGGATTTCGTTTTTCGCCTTACCAGAGTACTCAGGGAAGCATATCGTTAGGGGAGATCGCTTAATTTTCTCCTCAAACAAATCCTTTTTGTTCAAGAATAATATAATGGATGTTTCCACAAACCATTTGGAATTGCATATGGAATCGAAGAGCTTGAGTGATTCAATCATACGATTCATTTCCTCATCCTCAGCCAAAACCAAATCGTAGCCTGCAAGAAAGTGATATGGATGAGCATTTTCTGTTTATCATAAATAACTTTCCAAGTCTCACCTGAGAGAGCGACACAAAAGATAATGGCTGTCACGCCCTCAAAGCAATGAATCCATTTCTTACGCTCTGAACGCTGTCCACCCACATCGAATAGTCTGCAAAAAATGATGTGAAGCTTAAAACATCTACAAGAAATACGAAGCAATCGTTTTGTCTTACTTAAAGTGCAACTGTTTGCAACTAAAATGCGTCTCAATGATTCCTGTGGTCTTCACACGTGTTCGCAGCACATCTTGCTGTGTGGGTATGTAGTTGGGTTGCGCAATGCGGTCCAGAGAGTTCAGGTAGTAGCCAGCCGAGTCGTTGAGCTGGTATTCGCGAGAGCGTGAGAACGATTGCTGCACACCAGCATCCGACCAGAGCTTCTTCATCAGCAGCACGATCTCCGGTAGCAGGATGCCCTCGTCTGCAGCCGAGGCGTGTGTAAAGAACTGGCGCGCAATGTCTGTTTTTCCAGGATCCGCAAACTCGATCTTTAGCCGGCCCATCGCCCGTATTATGACCATCAAACTCTGTACCGTGTTGCTGTATACGACGCGTCGATACTCCTCGCACTCCTCCTGCGAGTAGCCCGTCTCGTGGATGATCTTCATCTGTTTGACTATTGTCGATTTGCCGGATTCGCCGGCGCCTGTAAATAAACCAGAATTACAAATGTGGAAATTGTGGAACGGATGTTGGCTCAACCAATGGGCGTGACCTGCCAATCAGCAAACAATTGGAGCTGCTCCTCTTGTATGTGTCATGCGTAAAAAGCGCCAATGAATGAATGAATGAAGCTAACAATATGTGCACACGAGGGGGCAGCGAGCAGGCGGCAATTCATGAATGAATGGATGCCACAATTTGTTCAATTGTCTTTGGGTTCAAGAGGCCAAAAAGCTAGCTGCCGCGCCATGCCTTGCTGTGCTGTGCCGAACGTGCTCAATTGCGTTGGTCATGTTGGTCATGTAATATCGGCAGTAATTAAGCTGCTCAGCTGGCATAGGCAATATATCGTACATAATATAACTAGTTTACTGTTTATAAACATACGAATAATTGGATGGCCAAGCAGAGGTGTCTGAGGCAGGTTTATTGGTTTGCCTTGCTTTTTATATATCACATATAATTTTTGTTTGTTGTTTATTTTCCCACAGGTCAGGCCGTTGCGGTTCATTGAACTTCGACTTATCAAAATTCAAACGAAGTTTAAACCTACCTTGTAAACAAAAATAAACGCCAAAGTTTTATTAAATTGCAAAATATATATGAGTTAAGCAAGGCACACAAATGCACAAAGTAAACAAAAAGCATATTGAAAAAGTTTATTTTGGCCAGTCCAATAGATAAGAATAACTGATGTTACGTGTTTTCTAGTTTCCCCCAACTGCAACTAAAAAAAACCTAAAAAAATTAATGTTTTTTTTTATCGCAGACATGATTTTTGCTAGCTACCGGTCTTAGTATATTTAACGTCAAAAAGCGATATACGTTGTCCACGATTGCAACAAAGGCGCATTAAGCCAACATTATTATTTTTTGTTTTTTATGTTTAATTTTTTTTTTTTGCAACATTCGATGGCTTTTATTGTTGCTGCATAGGTTTGTGTTGTGGTTGGGTCTATTCCCAGACAGCAAAAGCTTTAGAGGAGAGGCGGGAAGGTAGTCAACTTGATTAGGTAATTGCGAGAGCTCTACTTTGGTACTTTCACTTTTGCAGCAAAGCTTGAAGTACCACCCGATCGCATATGCATAGTATATGCTATATATGCTTAAGTACGTATATCTATATATATATATATATATATATATATATATATATATATATATATATATATATATATATATATATATATATATATATATATGATTGTTAAAATCATAGCTAACAATGCGTACTAATTTAGGCAATGAAAATTATGTCGTTATAATAAGTAATGGCTTAAAAGACGGTCAACTCGGCTTTAATGGTTGATTAACAAATATTCAAGCTTCGTAGCTTGCCACCGAATAATAAAACAAAGCAAATGAGCGAGAGAGGGGGATAGAGGCAGTTCGCAACAATGGCGAAAAAAGGTCAATTTAATAATAACAACAATAACATGAAGAAATGCACACACACTATGATAAATCGTGTATTCATTTATCAATGCACCGTTAGACGTGCCATAATAAGCACCCAAAGCGAGGAAAGAAGACAGCAAGAAAAGAGCGTAAAACGGTGAGATGTGGTGAGGTACAAAGAGGACAAGAGAACGCCACTCAAAACACTTCATCATCATCATCGGCATCGCTCATCATGATAAACAGCGGTATTCAAATTAACTTCATTAGCACACGCACATATGCATATGTATTTATGTAGGGAAACTCCTTTTGGGGGCGTGCCATACAACTCAACGCTATTCCTGATTGCGGTTCCTGTGCAATTAGATACATATACATGTAAATAATTGCATTGACGGTGACTAAAGGCAAACACATACAGGCACACACACAGACTCACACACATTTGGACAGGAAAAATTCACAACAATCATTCCATAGCTTTTTTCATTTGCTCTGACTGCATGACTAATCGTTATCGAGTTATATTGGCGCCTCCAAGCGGCTGGCGACTGAACTTTCCGATAAGTAAAGTGAGAAAAGAAATGTGTTAATCAGACGTGCGAGCGAGCAGAGCTGGAAGTAAACAAATGGAAGTCGGCACTTAATCGTCGCTGAAATTGTCCATAGGAAATGCACCACACTATGATTTACTTCTGGGTAAATTTCATCCAATCACATGTATAAATACCGTTTAGGCAATCAATGTTCGTCCATTAATTTAGCTCAAAATGACTGTTTCAAAGCTGACGGAAAGGTCATTTATTGATAATTTTGATAAGACACCGAACAATTTATGGCGATAAGAACAGCACATTAAGTACATTATATATGTGAATAATTATACGAATGCATACGTCAGTATTTGTGCGTGTGTGTTTATAAAATACTTAAAAATTGTTGATTAAGCTATTTGTGTTGACAGTTTGTGTCGAGTTTCCGAGGGCTCTCCGCTTGCTGTCAGTGTCGAATATTGTTTATGTGTCGGTCGGCATGCTAATGGAACGTATTATATGCTTGTTTATTTCTTTTTTATTTTTTTTACTTGTATGCATATGTCTGATATGGGAAATGTGAGACTAATCAACATTAAATAAACCGAGATATGTCTGTGCTAAAGTATTTGAAATGGAAAATACCAAAGAAAGCTCCAAATTGCACTTTCCAAATTGAACAGCGTTTCAAAGGGTGGCAGAGTGGGTGCGAGGGACAGGAAGAGGGGAACAGAGGCAGAGAGTGAAACCGACATTAAATTAAGTGCCATAATTCAACTGGAGAGGCTGTTCGCAGATACAAAGTAGGGTGCAATGGTCAGACAGCGGCTGCAACAATAGCAAAAAATTTTATTAAATCTACACGAATAAAGCGGAGCGAAGCATAAGCCAAACACACGCGCGCACACAGCTGCATTGGATGTGGGGCCATTTATTTGCGCTAATATCGTTCACCCCACTTTAAATGTCAGTGTACAAGCAACAACAACTACTACAACAGCTGCCCCGGCCAATTAGGCCTGCGCGATAGAGCGAGCGAGAGAGAAAGAGAGAGAGCGCTCTTGATGAATGCGGTTGAAATAATGAACGTGCGCAGGCGCAGCAGCCAGCGCATAGGCCGAGATAGTGCTATACAAATGAAAACATAAGCAAAACAACAACAACCTGTACTATAACATATGTATGAACAATAAAATAAATACGAGCGCAAATGTTAGCAACTGGTGCAAGGTGTTTTTCTCATTGCCTGTATTTGCCATAAGCTACACTAACATACATAGTTGTTGCGCTTGTCACTTTTCCTGTGTGGCGCAACGAACAGCTGCAATTGTAACACAGCTCTCCTTCAGCAGATAAAGCAGCTGAATTGACTGTACAAGATAATAAGTAATTTAAATTCATGTCATATCGTTTTACGCCGAAATTCTTTTCGCAAAACCACATTTTACTATAAACTTCTAGCAGTAGTTAAAGCAGATTTTTGTTGACCAGTGCTGTGTATTCATCTCGTGTATCATTTAACTGGCATGCCGACTCGCCCAGCGCATCCCCGCATCCGTCAATCGACAGCCCCTTTTGAGTCATCGTCGAACGAATGAGCGGGGCGCCGCTTCATTAGCAAAAGCTCTCAAGTGCAGCTGTATTGAGTTGTGTTAGCTGTGGCTGTTGGTTGGAAAGCTGGAAAACCCATTCCATTGTTTGCAACATTGACTGAATGAAAACGCGCGCTCAAGATAATTTCTCGACTTGCTGTTTGTATAGAAATTTAATTGCAGAAGGCCAAAAACGCGATGCGGCATCCAATTTCACTACGCAAGCGCACGATGCAGAGGTCAAAGTTGAAGCGATGGCGTCGCAACGCCTCAATGCACATTTCTCACCAACAACAAGTGCCACTCATCACAAACACACATACAAACATACACGTACACATACATACACGTTTTCTTATGTATGCTTCTTTTGTATATGTGAGAAGAACCGCATCACAAACATGTTTCCATTGCAAGACGATGGAAGGCGAAGGCGCCCCACTTGTTGGAACCACAGTCGCCGCAGCACACATTTGGTTTTAATTTACTTTCAATTTCTTATCGCAATTGAATTATTGACATGTGCATTGCATAATGCCCGACCACAGCCAAAGATGAATCGAACGGGTATCGAGTTGCGCACGAACAATATTTGAGAGACAAAAAGTTCGAGAGCATAAAATTCCGCATTACAACGGTTTTCGTTTGCTTCCAGTTGTGAAAAAAACCCACCCCACTGAGAAATAGTTCACAAATATTTGTGCATGGCGTCGCACTTTTAGGCAAAAACTTAAGGTCTTAATTAGTACGTATTTATGTATTGGAAAGTTGTGAGAGACGCACCTAAGAGCAGCAGCTTAACCTCAGAGGCGGCGCGTTCTCCTTCGGCTCTGAGCGCCCGGTCGATGTTTTTGGAACGTTCGATGGCTTCTTTATCTCGTGCTGTACTCACGGCACAACCCATTTTGTTATTATCGCTGTTTGCTGCTTGTTAACCAACTCGTGATCAGCTTTTTGGCGAAATTTGCGCCTGTAATTAATTAATTTTCACTCCCGTTTATTCGGTACTTTTAATTAGCCACTGCAGATCGTTGCGTCTGCGCGTCGTCTGTACACTTTTTTGTGTGTTGCTTCTCCTCCTCCTTTCACACAAACACATACACACGCATGCACACGCGCAGTCAAAGTTTGAGCCGACGCAGACGTAGCGGGCCGTAGATTTTGCACTTTCCAAAAAACTCGCGGCGGCGGCCTTATTAAATTATTTAAATTCTCTAATGGTATGTATGTCTGGCGGCAATGCAAAATAATTTTCTATTTGTTAAAACTGCTTTTAGCGTTCGCGAGCGTGAATCACTTTTTGACTGCTACTGCGGTTCCCACTCTCATACTAAAAAAACACCACTAGCGCATAGCACTTGGTCACACTGAGAACGATCAGCGTTCGTCAGTGCTGTCAAAATACCAAAAAATATGTTGCCTTGCTCAGCACTGGAAAGTTGAGCAAGTGTGACGTCAGCACGATCTGTTGCAATGCTGCCAGACTGTTATGGGAGCCGTACATATTGCTGAATGTTATGTAACTCGAATTTCAAACTAAAATTGGGCGCGAATTGCGACGGAAACCAATTTATATCAAATTAATAATTTAAATAAACTGTATGGTGAAACATTGACCTTATTATAAAGCATTAACGGGATAATTTTGTAAATTGGACTTAGAATGTAATGCTCAAGTTCACATTATTGAGAATGTATCAAAAATTTCAATATCAAAAATTTGCCCTTTGCCTTTGGATATGTTTATTGAAATAACGCTTTAAGTATAAACAAACAAAACGCACACAAAATTGTGTTCAGCTCCTCGGAAGTACATGGCGTTTGCTTCCAAACCGTATGTTCGCAAGCCGAAAAAAGTTCTCAGGGCAAACCAGCATACACAGAGAGACAGAGAGAGAGGGAGAAATAATATTTGCTTTAGCCTTTTGGGACAATACGATTATGAGCGCTGGAATTGGGATGGGAATGTCAATCTACGTTGGCGGCCAGCAGCAGCCAGCGCCAAATGGTGGCAGTTGCATTCGGAAATCATTTGTACTTATCGAAATTCGAACGAGCATTGGAATAATGGGCTGAGTTGCGGGACAGCAAGCTGGAATAGCTTTCCACAAGTCATTTATCTGGATGTGACTGGAAAGAAGCTAGCGTTGCAGCGCAAAAGTTGTCGAAAATCGAACTAGCACTGGAATGATTGAACGGGAATAGCTTTTCACAAATCATTTATTTATATACACACATAAATAGATGATTGGAAACGTTTTGGGGTCGCAGTGCAAAAGTTGCGGCAGAAGCAACGTCGACGAGGACATCACATGTTACGCTCTGCGCCCCATCGCTTTGTCTACGTGGATGCCATCAACGGGTCATGATTTACACATGTTTACACGAAGCTTGAGGACGGTCGAGGGGGAGTTGGGATCCCCGCATGAATGAATGATAGCCGCATTGCAGCAATGTTGCTGTTGTAATTTATCGTAAAAAGTAAAACGGCAGCGCGGGCTAGAGAATTATGGAATTATGCGGTTAGAGGAGATAGGGCGCACATAGGCAGGGTGCGGAGTGCGAGGAGTGCGGACGCTGAACGCTTTGGGTGGTCCAATTGGTTGGCCGTCGCGCGAGTGCAATGCGGCGCATGCAAAGCGCATGCCGTCTTCTTCTTCTGCTCGGCTGTCTTACTCGTCATCGGCATCGTCATGATCGTGGCTGTTGTTGTAGTAGCTGTGGTTGCTCTTGCTTGTTGAATAAAAACCGTTTGCTGATGCCAACAAATTTGACGAACGTCGACGTCAACGTCGGCCAAACTTCAATCGGCGTGCGCACAAAAGCAGAAACTAAAGCAAACAGCAACAACAACAACAATGCACACATCAGCAGCGGCAGCAGCAACAACAAAAATAACAACTACAGTTAAAGGATGGCAAGGCCTTGAAATAGATATGAGCATACGTATGTGTGTCTTTGTTGTTGTTGTACTGGTCGCTCTCCCACACCTATACCCACACACACACGCATACAGACACCGTTTAGCACATGTGTTGCCAGATTGCCAGGGCAAACTCAAGATTAAGATTAATTTCGTCGATAATTTGAAAGAGAAAAAAAACACTTTTGGAAAACTTTGCGTAGCGGCGTTTTATGCGTTGAAAGGTTGAGCAGACACACGGCGGCTGTTCATCTGGTATCTGGAAACTGGCTATGGATGTGCTCCACACTCAGCCGTGGCTCCATAGCCTTTAGACACACTCGTGATGGATGCTCGACCGCCCGTCGATCGTCGACTGCGTCAATCGCTTTGATTTTCGGCACTTTACAAAGCCGTCGAGCAAGTCAATGGGCTGACAACTACAGAAAATAAATACCTAAAAAGAAGTGAAGAGTTAGCATATATAAATACTAGCAAAAATACTAATACTGGAAATAGTTGCGACATTCCAGCTGGAAAGATTTTACTGTTCATTGGAATGGCCGGCCAAACGGGGGCCCAAAATCGTAAAACTGGGAAATATGTGCAAGTATTTAACTAAAATTAGCAGCATTCAATTTGTTTACATTGAAAAAGTAATAATTACCCAAAATACAGAGAGCCTAAGAAGACAAAAATGCGCTGTATACAATCACACACACATACACAGCGAGCTATGGGTCGATCGATCGGTTGGCTCCTAGACCCAAGTACAGATGAAAAAAAAAACGAAAAAAAAACGAAAAAACGAGGAAAAGTATTTCGACTGTTGAGTCGGTAGTCGACACAAGTGCGGCCCGTGTCGAGATTTGGTGTTGTTTACATTAGCCATAGGGAAAAGCGAATCGTGCATGGCCATACGGCTGCAACCTGCCCGGGAATGGGGCAGGGAATCCGGGCTGCAGTAGCAGCAGGAAACAAATATCAGTGGCAGTGCAATTGAATTGCCATAAAAACTGATGCTTTGGCTCTCGAGTCTGGGTGTGAAATTTATGAATTCCCGTTCCAGCAGCAGCAGCAGCAGCAGCCGCCGCAGCTTGTCGAATACTTTTGTCATGGATGGCAGTGATCAGAGATCAGAGATCAGAGATCGGAGCTACGTGGGAGCTTTTAAGCACCTGCCAGCTGATAGAATGCAGTTTTCCAGCGAAAAGTGCAATAATTATTTCCAATTGGCTTTTCTCTATTTTGCGCCAATTGGTTTTAGTATATATCTGATCTAGATCCGATTTGTTCGGCGTCGCCAGGCTTGCCAGGCGGCAGCAGCAGTCTCAAAGCAATAAAATATTCATGCAACTACACAGTCTTTATTTTATCACTCTTTATGGTTTTCATTCTTTACTCTTCGTGTTAGCTCCCCGCTGGCCAGCTATTTTGGCTTGGATCTGACTCGTTGCTTTATGGCTTTATAATGTCTAGAGCGTTGCGTTTTATGATCTCCGTGTTTTCTGCTATCCAGTGAGCAAAACACTATATAAGTGATTCATGTTGCTCTATTATGTGATACGATTTGACTGGGCGCCTCTATTTGGTCAGTTTCTTAAAAATTAGAAAATTCTTCGTTCCGAAACGCAATACAAATACAGCTCATTTTTTTTTGCAGGGATCTTTCTGACCATCTTTCGGACTATCTTTCTTCTTCTGACTCTTCGCCCCCAACTTCTTGTCGTCCTTTTTCTTGCTCTTCTTCTCGCCCTTCTTCTCTCCCTCCTTCTCCCCCTTCGCGCCCTTCTTATCACCCTTGCAACGAGGACCGAACGACTCTTCTTTATTCCAATCGTTAATATCAGTTTAAACTTTTATGTGATTCTTGTTCTACTTACGCTTCGTTGGACAATTCTGCTCATGAAATTCGATACTTTTCAGATATCTCACTGCGCTGAGCCTCACATTGGCACAGAGCACTTGGAAGCCGTTCCTCAAACTGAGCGCGGCGATTTTTGGGAAACGTTCCATTTGATTATATTTAGAATTTTGTATTATGCCTTCTTAAAACATATCGGTAAAGAGAACTAAACGTGCTTTTACACTAGCTTCCATAAGTCAATTCCCCAGGCACTTTTCTTAGCTTGCTATGTTTTGGAATTACATCTCGGTATGCATGAGAGCTCAACAGACTTCGCAGATTCGGTTGGATCTCTATAAAAATTGTTTGCACATTGGAGGCTTCAACTCATTTAGCCTGCTGTCAGAGCTGAAGTTTTTCTATATAGTTTGACGAACGGCCAACAGTTTCGAAGAGCCTTTACTATTTCTAGCAAATAAATCGAAAGTTTTTCAATTTCCTTGAAATTCTACTAATTACCAAAACATGGACCAATTCGTATTAGAAATCTTTAGATTAATAACTGAGCTGACATGTGTCAGACGCTGGAGATGTTGTGGCTCGGGTTTTGCTGTTTGAAATTTGGGTATTGGATTACACGCCCGACTCCGCTACCGGATCTCAAGTGCCGGCCACACATTGCCGAAAACCCGAGTCCGAGCATCAAGTGTGGACCGCAGCGACAATGTCTGGGGGACGATGCCATGTCAAAATATTTGTCAGCGCCTCGTTTTACGCCGTACAATTACGACGGACTGCCGCTGCGTCAGGATGTCGCCTGTAATTAACCCAAATTTACATATATATGCGTTGTGATCGCCCCCTGCGAGCCACTTGACATGCAATGCATTGTTAGTCGTTACTATAACATATATATATATATATATCATTTCATTCCCTGGCCGACTCTGTGGCATTCCACAATTTTCATTTATCAGCGTCGTTTGGATGCCTAGAGACGTTGATCTTGGGAGGACTGACAATCATGGCTGGAGCACTGTGTTCCAATTCCTTGAAGACATATACGATCAAACATGCCACATGCCACATGCCACACAGGTGCGCTGCCCCGCAAGGCCAACAGCAACGAGTTGAACAAACAGCAACAACGACGCGGCGCAATAAAAAAAGTGTGGGAAGAGCTTGAATAAAAAATGTACAAGAGCCAAGAACAAAGCGAAATATGTGAGCGACAACAGCAACAACATGCAGAGCAGCAACAGCAACGGCAACAGCAACAGCAACGGCAATAATGCCAAACCCAAGAGCAATTACCAAGAAGCAATGAGGACAATACGCGTCGATTGAAATGAAACAGATGCCAAAAGTTCGAAGATCGAAGATCGGCTGCAGGCAGCAGCAGCAGCAGCCGGCGCAGCAGCTACAGCTACATCAATGGGCGCAGTCTTGGCTTGCCACATGCCACACATTTGACTTCGACACTTATCACACAATCAGCGAAATTTAGCCCGAGCTGCTGGCATTGCAAAATTTGTAATTTACATAGTTGGCTGAAGATCATTTCTGTTGCTGCTTCCTGTTTTCTCTTCCTTGCGCACAGCATTTTCCATTTTCCATTTTCCATTTCCATTTGCATGTTCACCTTTCCGCGTGAGTCAACGGATTTTTAAGTGCCGGCTATTAAAGCAAAAGCTAAACAAAACCCCAAACCAAGTGCCAAGTAAAAATCACTTTTGTGAGCCTCAACGAACTCGACTGTCCGTCGGCTGCCTTTAAAAGTATTTGGCTTTATTTCCTCTCTCTCTCTCTCTTTCTTTCTTAATTTTCTGTTCAATTTGGCGCAATTATTGCGCACCAAATAGTCTATAAATTGTTGGATTTTATTGCGCCAGCTTCGACAGCTGAATGCCGCAGCAAATGCCCCATTCAGCTGGGACTGCCCGTTGCGTGCGCTCCCCCTCCTCCTCTCCCTCTCCCACTCTGTCTATCTCGCTCTCCCTCTTTTATTATATTGCCACAGTTTGCATGGTAGTTTGGCAATGGCATCCAGATCGCACAATAACTGGCAGCTGGCAGCCAAACACACGTCGTGTTGGCCATCTTGCGCAAATGTCGGCGACGGCAGTGGCAGCGGCAGCGACAGCGACGTCGACAGCGGCGGCCATTTTGAAATTGGAAATTTGAAATTGTAATCCGGTGAGGCAAGGTGTTTATGGCCACGCTGTCGCTATTTGAGTGCCAAGTGTGGCAACATTCCGGCCAGCATGACGACTGACTCCATAAGCAACTCTTGGCCAAAACTTATAAAATTCATAAAAAGCAAGTTTTAAGCGAGCTCAGGAAATGCATATGACTTGACTAGGTGAAGAACTTGAGCAGAGATCTATAAATGACTTGAAAAGCTATATTATGATCTAGTTGTGATCAGCTTTTTAATGAATTAACTTAAGCACAATAATCGTATAAAGCGGCTCTTAAATGTTAAAGATCTTGAGAGCAGGTGTAAGTAGTAGAGGTAGGTAGGAATGCTTGATAAACTGAATTTTTTTAAATAGCTTGAAATTAAATTTTAAAATGTTTTTTAATTATGAGTTAAATTATATAATAAATAAAATTCTTTACAGAAATTTCTAAAGACTCAAAATTATCCAAGTAAAATTATCCAAGTAGAATATAGGAGTGCTTGGCAAGCTGTCTTATGATCTGGTTATGATAGCTGTTTAATATTTAAATGTGGTAAATTAATTATTTAAATAATTATTAAAGCTTAACAATGCTAAAGATTGCCTGATAAAGTTGCTTATATTATTTTAATTTAAATTTAAAATGAAATAAAATTTAAAAAATAAAATAAAATTCTAATTGAATTAGATTTTAAGTGCATATGATTTCTCGTTATCTTTCTCACGATACCTTTGATCTTAGCTCTCATGTTAGATACTTACATACGATTATTATCTGATAATCTCTATAGTCTCTATATCACTCGATTTGCTGTTCGTTAATTGAGTTTTTAAGCAATTCAATTGGTCAGCTAGGCAGCGCAGATGCCAATTCAAACAGTGGGGAGCTACCTATCGATGATCAGAGCCATTATCAGTTATTGAGTCTTCACAGTCAGCTCTGATAATTAGTTTATATAACTCAATGACTAAGCATAATAAGCTTTTTATATGAAAATTCTTTTCGTTATAAACATTTGTTGTATTTGTTCTTCGCTCTCACTTTACTGTTTATAAGTCTATTTATTGCGTTGGTCTGTCACCAGGTTTTATCCAAACAGAATTCCATAAGCAATTCCCTACTTAGCGCCCAAGCGAACGCTAAAATATCGCATAAATATTTACAAAGAGAAAAGTCGTGGGAAAAAACAATAACAAAATGGTCTTATATATTTAAAAAACAAGTACGTATATACTGTTTCCATGTGGATAATGCGTTCCACATAAAGTGGCCGCAACACGTGATTCCATTTCTGCACAAAAGCTGGGGGCATAAACAAATCCTGGAATCTACTTATGAAGACATTAAACCTAACTATTTGGTTAGATCTGAGCTACAAATTGCAGCAGCACAAGTCTAAATATTTAAACAAAGAAACGAGCACAAGCGAGACAGACAGAGAGAGAGAGAGAGAGAGAGAGGGAGAGGGATATAGCGAGTGGGAACAAATCTTAACTATAGACTGCATAATTTTGCTCGCAGCAGCTGTGTGTAAATATTTTGAATTTTGGACTATTTGATTATTTGTTGTCCGGCGGATCAACTGTTTTAATAAACGTTGCGAGCTGCCAGGCCGCTAGGAGGCGGCGCGAGGCGGCGGCGTGGCAGGTGGCAGGGCGTGGCCGAGGAAGCTGCAATTGTTTGCTTATGCCCGATTGTTGTTGTAGGTCAGTGTGCAAAAACAAATGCGCCGCAGCTCCAATGGAAGAGGAAGACTGGGGGAGGGGGCGTGGTTGCGTTCGCGAGAGGCGGCAAAGGAATCGTGTGTTTAGAGTGTGTTTAATTGTTAAATGTTTATTAAACTACAGCACGAGGCAAGTTTAAACAATGCTGGCCATGGCCGGCATTTGGTATTGTTTGGTATTCTTTTGCATTACCCAGAAGAAGAGAGAGAGGGAGAGGGAGAGGGAGAGAAGGAGTAAGAGAGAGGCAGAGCATCGCTGAATCAATGGGATCGCCGCTTTGTGTACTACAACTCAACTTGGTGCAGACGGCGGACGCGTCGTATACATAATTTTGTTTACAAACGTCCATAATAGTAAACAATTTGGCCATTTAATAACATTAACATTAAATTAAAAGCAAAACAAACGCCGTACAAGAAGCCCAGCACAACAACAGCAACAACAACAAGAGAGCAAAAATATCAAGTGAGATGAATTGTATATGCTTATCTTTATTATGATTATTTGAACTTGAAACAGAAAAGAACGAATTGCTGATGACGACTTTTGTTTGGGAATTCCCTGAACACAGGCTGGATAATAGAGCTAGTACGGGGAGTGAGAGAGCGAGAGAGAGGGAGAGGGAGGCAACTGCCAGCGGACCACACAAGTTCCGCTGTGAGTTGCCTTTGGCGGAACTGTTGACCCAGTTAATATGACGCACTGTTTGGCTTTGCCTTGGAATCGGAATGGCTATAAATACAAGGCGCGATGGCATGTCAAAGAAATTTCGATCCGGCCAAATGGCTAAACATTTGGCCAGAAAGTGAAAAGTGTATCAAGGAAATGCGACAGGAAAATAGCTGAAAACAGAGTAAAATCAAAGAAAAACTATGAAATTTGTATACAAATTAAAATATTTTCAACTCTTTCAATTGATTTATTGCCGTTGTTGTTTTCGATCAATTTTTGTGCGCTCTGTGCATTTTGGTCAATGTCATTTAGTAGGAAAAACGATTTCTTTTCAATCTTCTCTCGCACCTGGGCAATTAATTAATCGCCAGAGCCGGAGCCGCAGCCGCAGCAGCAGCAGCAGCAGCAGCCATAGGCCAATCGGAATTGTATTGTTTCGGATGCCTGTTTAATTTATTCCTCACTCACAATAAATTCCACTTTTTTTCTTTCTTCTGGATGTGCAGCAACGAAAACAGCACGCAAAAACCGAAATAAGAAATAATAATAATCAAACGTAAAAATAATTTATGGCCTGTCCGCAGAGACCAGCAGAAAAATGGCTAAAGGCGCACATATATATGCATATATATATATATATATATATATATATTTGTCTGTAGAAATTGACTTTAAATGCTGTGCTGAAAAACGCTCCCCAATTGCCCCCACAATTGTTGTTGTTGCTTTGCGGTTATTGTCTGCGAGTTCCGCGAAAAATTCTCTGAAATGGCGAGTGCTTCGGCAAATTGTCTGCTTGTGATATATTTGCCAAACGAAATTAAAATATCTTTCGGGCCACGCAAAAGTCAAATAAAATTCCCCAAAAAAAGGCACAAGAAAATAATAAGAATCGATTATATAGCTAACAAAATGTGCGCTGTTGTTGCCCCCAGCGCCAATCGCGCCTGACGCGTTCGACAAATAGAATTCGTTTAATGTAAACAAAACTCCGCCTTCGTGTGCCGCTCTCTCTCTTTCTCTCTGTGTGTGTGTGGGGATTGAAACGTTGCCCGATCTCTTGGCAGCGAAAAAAAAAACAAGTTGCGTGCGGAGCGCAGAGAGCGGCCTCGTCGCCATCGTCAACGTCGTCACGGTCGCGAGTCGGCGTAGTGCTGACAGCAATGGCGGCACTCAGGGAGCAGCCACAATGCATGCAGCAGTCAGAGACCCAGGTCCGGACCCGAACCGAACCATACAGCCATACAGAGAGCGACTAAATCAATTAACAGCTCGTTTGAATGCCGCGCCAGCATTGGGAACAACGGCCATCGGTTTACTCTCCATGAGTGGCAAATGTTAATTCATTTGCCGTAATTGGGGCTTCGAGATCTGGGTTTCCCAACTATTTATTAACTGTTGACTGTGCCAGAAACAGGCGACCGACATGCTCGACGTGGCCACAAGATCTCTATGCCAATGATGTCTCTTATTCTAGGAAATATTTAAGACTCTATGCCATACGCATAACAAGTTTCGTTGCTTATGTAAAGGAATTTTCTTAAATATTAATTTATTTACTTGACTTTTGTATTGAAGGGAGAGCTATAGAAGGTATGGACTTTGCTGAAGTATGTTTTGATTGGGCATATTTTAATTAACATATTAAATTCAGCAGCAATTTAGAGGCACTTGACAGAATTATGCAATGGACTTTTCATTTTTAAAGGTCGAATTTCATATTTTATTTGAATGATTTTCGATTGTTTCCGATGTGACTGCAATTCTCAATTTGATAGAATTTGAATGTTATGCCTTAAATGTTCTACTTTTATTAAGCTTTAGCCACAATTGCAATCTTCAGTCAAAAAAAAGTGGAAAATAAATTGAATGTCTAATTAATATAGATGACAATTCATATACAACATGAATTCAGTTTTGAAATTTAACTAGTTACTAAGCCAGATTGAATTGTAACAGAAAATATACAAAAGACTTCAAATAATTATCTACGAACTGTTGAAACTATTAAGAAATCCAAGCACAATAGTTAGTTCGTAATGAAGTCACTCCAAGATATCTAAACAAGCCGAAAGCCCTCTAAGAAATCTGCAAACACAGCAATGGACACTTAACTAGACTCATCCAACATCACTTGGCTCTCAGCCCATGCAACAGCAGCTTGCTTGATTATAGCCACTAGACTATATATTGATACTTATCATAATTAGCTTAACTCACATTAACCTGCTCTTATTCAGCACCAACTCAAGTTACAGTACAAAAACAATCGCTTCATGACATTCAAGACAATCGCAGCGACATCGGAAGCATTAAAGTCCATAAAGGCAGCTTTGCCTAAGCCCGACTATATATTGTCTATAGAACTATATGACAACCAATGAACACAGAAGTCAGAATACGTCTGAGTGTCTATATCCGCGTTTCTCTATATAAATATATAAACGACTTGAAGTGGAAATTCTGGCCAGTTTTTAGGGTAGCTTCAAGTCGAATAATTAATGATGCCTACACATATATATAGTATTCACAAATGTATATAATCCCATTGAAGAACGAAATAGTAGTCAACTGTATCGTTTGGCCAACTCGCTCGGATTGCAGCACTTCAGAGTCAAAGAGCTGGCCGTTCGCTGCCTGTTCCTGGATATTTGGCATGCCAAGGCGTAGACCAGGCTCCAATGGCGCTAACCACAGATGTGTCACATAAATGCCAACAATTGTGTGATCTCTGTAGCAAGAGCGAGAGCAAGAGCAAGAGCGAGAAGCAGCGCAGCAAATGCCAGGCCAATTAGCTGCAAGTCGAATTGGAAAGGCGAGAGAGAAAGAGCGAGGGCGAGGGCGGGAGTGCGAGTGAGAGTGAGAGTGAGACTGAGAGCGCATTTGCGTAAGGCGTAGGCGAACTAAAAAAAGAATATGTTCCGATCAAGTGGAGCGGAGCGTCGTCCGGCGAGGCCCGAGCACTATTCAGAGCGACGAGAACGCTGAGATCGCAAGCAGCTTGCAGTTAGTCGAGCATAGCGAAGCCGCGTGGTTGTTTCACCAAACACAACGGATAAAACTGAAAGTAGAAACGGGCAACTAAGCAAAAAGTGTGAACTGTGAACTGTGAACTGTGAACTGAAACAGCTAAACAGCAAAGGCTTCGATCGATTAGAAAGCAGAGCAAGTGAGCGAAATGATCAAAAGCGAGGAAGTGCCATCGGAGCTGAACAGCCGCACGATGGTCGTAGATCCACTGGGTGGCTTTGTGAGTGGCTCGCACTATCACCCACATCACACGCATCATCCGCTGAGCAGCGGTGCCCAGCATCTGCATGCACACACCTTCACGCATCACACACCTTCGCATTTGTATCGCGGTGGGAATACGCTGCCCGCTGGCAATTTCCAAGTGATGGGCGGCGATTCGCCCACAGAGCTGGTGGATGAGAAGCCAAACATTAGCTATATGGAGCGCAAGTACTATGCGCCCACGTTGGATGCCACCAACGGCAACGTCACGCCCACCGCACAGCACTATGGGCTGAGTGCGCTGCACAGCATGGGCACGCCGCCGGCATCGTCGAGTCCGATTCCGCCGTATGGCGTGCTAATGCCAGCCCATTCCGTTGGCTCGGTATCGCCCAATTCCAGCTCCAAGACGCCCACCGACCAGGATATGTGCATCAGCTCTTCAGTGGTGAAGCCCTTGCAGCTCCAGCACATCAACCATCAGTATGCCTCCACCATCAAGTACTGCACCAACAATACCATAGTCAGCGCCAACGACTACCATCAGCTGACGATGCATGAATCGGAGCAGCAGCAGCAGCAACAACAGCAACAACAGCAACATCAGCAACAGCAGCAACAACAACAGCAGCAGCAGCAACAGCAGCAACAGCAGCATCAGCAGCAGCAGCAGCAACACTCTCCCGGCGGCTACTTGCAACGCCACTCCGCCTCGCCCAACCAGGTCATGGCGAATAGCCACGGACATGGCTTGCCTGTGCTGAACTACTCGAGTGCCAGCTCCTCGCCTGCCAAGTCGCTCAACGGCTCCGAAACGACAGCCACAAGCGCAGCTCACGAAAGCGCCAGCGCACAGCAGTCGAAGGTGAGCGGCTCCAGTGGCCCAGACAACAGCACGCCGGACACCACCAAGAAGTCCGGCACTCGGCGTCCCGAGAAACCAGCCTTAAGCTACATCAACATGATCGGGCACGCCATCAAGGAGTCGCCCACTGGCAAGCTGACGCTCAGCGAGATCTACGCATATCTACAGAAGAGGTGGGTACCATAACTGCAGCTCAGACATATGTATATAGACTTATATATATATATATGTATATATATTTGAAATCGAGCTCTGGCGATCAAGTCCCATTGTTATAAAATTTTAACCACTTGAGATTGAGGCGTAGTATTGAATGTCGTCCAACATATGTGAAGCTGAAGAGTTTGAAAGGCTTTTAGTGTCGTGGCTCCCAGAAAGCAGAAAGCAGCTCCAATGTCAAAAGTTATTGAAATTTATAGAAATGGAGTTTTAAAACAATAGTAATACTAATGGAATTTCATATGACTATAACATAAGATCATTTCATAGACTCTCAATTCAATAGAAATCAATTACAAATTTAGGACCTTAAGCTAAAATAAAATAAGTTTTTGCTTCTTATTTGACTAACAGCATGTTTCGTGCTTCATTCCGAAAAATTACCATACTAGAACTATGACAACTCTTTGATAAATATTCATGTTAATAAGTGTTACGATACAGAACCAAACACAGTAAAAAAGCATCAAACTTTTGTTTGCTTGGGGTATTCGTGTTGTTCATAAGACAGAAAAAAAAATTATTAATAGTAAAAATATTACATAATATATTCTGATGGCTTGTGAAAAACTGATTGAAGCTCTACTGTAACAGATTATATATATATCATAAATAAATAGATATGTAGCCTTGCTTTTATTTAAGAGGAAACTATTATAGCTTCTAAGCTAGGAAGGCAACAGTCGCAGACAGAGATTGTCAACTTCGACCTTATAAAGTATCTCCTTCTCTCTCTCTCTCTCTCTCTCTCTCTCTCTATTAGTATATAGGGGCTTATCTGCATTTCTTTCTCTTTCTCTCTCTCTCTTTCTCTCTCTGTCTCTCTACGAGTATATCCAGATGTACCTCTCACTCTCTATCTGTTTTTTCTCTCTCTCTCCCTATTAGTATATAGATATTTCTCTATTTCTGTTTTTCTGTCTCTATGACTCTCTCTCTCTCTCTCTCTGCAGAGATTTTTCTATCTCTGACTTTCTTAATCTTCCTTTCTGCATCTCAATATCTATCTCTCTTCCTCGCTATAAAGATTCCTCTTTCTCTCATACAATATTTGTCTCTCTGCATTTCACTCTTTCTCACTATAAATCTATACCTATCTTTAGCCCTGTCTCTCTTTCTCCTTGTCTAGTCTCTATTTTATAACTACTTATTATATATCGTAAGCAGCTTAATTCAAATTACGGATAACTCAACAAATCTACAAAAATTGAACAAATGCAATTGGACGCAAAGAACTTAAAGCTGAGAGAGTCTCAGAGTTGGGCATGCATATTGTTATGTGCTGGAGAGAGATAGCGAATAAGGAACGTTCATTATTTTTATTTTATTTTATTTTTTTTTTTAAATAAATAAAAGTAAAAGTCGTTTTGTCTAAACATTCTGGTTAAGAGCCCTAAAAGTAGCTCAGCTCTTGGCTCTTATCGGCCATTGCATTCCCAAGCGCTGAAAGCAGCGACAGAATCTCAAGTAACCAGCTGGGACCCGTTACCGACATCGACACCCAGCCACCGGGCACCGGACACAGATATAGCCAACACGAGAGGGGCAGGCAGGCAGAGGGTAGGGGGGAGATTGGAGACTGGAGATTGGCGAGGCACCTAAAAGTGTTTCGATTTTCATGTGTCGCTTGCGTTTATTTACTTGCCTCCGATATTATTTAGTCAACAAAAATATGAGCAGCTCCCCCAACCCAAAGCCAGAACAAGTTCGAGCTCACGAGCCCACGCTGTAGCTCTCTGGCAGGCGCATCCTTTTGATTGCTCATATTTCCCAGCGCATGGCACTTTATACATGCATATCGCAATATATGTGTGTTTGGATATTGGCGACGCTCACGACTGGGAACCAGACAAGGGCGGAGCGGAACGGGCCCTGGCAACGCTTCAATGCGAAATGCGTGAGAGGATTTAGCGCTGACAACGATTGTTTGTTGTTGCCCATGTCTGTGGGCCCGAAAGTTTTTTAATTGACTTTTGTGACGGATACTCAAAGCTCATTAGAATATGCGCACGAGCAGAGGGGCAGAGCGAGGGGCCTAGTACGGAGGCTATTGGATGTGCAGCTGAAATCAATTACTTATATAAATAAACTGTATCTGTATCTGTATCTCTATCTGTATCTCTATCTGTATCTCTATCTGTATCTGCTTGCAGTTATGAATTCTTTCGCGGACCCTACGTGGGCTGGAAGAACTCGGTGCGTCACAATCTCAGCCTGAACGAGTGCTTCAAGAAGCTGCCCAAGGGCATGGGCGTCGGCAAGCCCGGCAAGGGCAACTACTGGACCATTGATGAGAACTCGGCGCACTTGTTCGAGGACGAGGGCAGTCTGCGACGTCGTCCACGCGGCTATCGCTCCAAGATCAAGGTCAAAACGTATCCAGTCAATGCGAACAGCTTCTACAGCGGCAGCTACGCCGACGCGGGCATGGTGAGCTTTCGAGATTCCGTTATATCCCAGTCAAATATCTTATTTACTTTTTACCCACCTGCAGGACAATGCCAACTTCTATGCAACGCCCGCCTATGCCAGTTACGATTACAGCGCTGCAGCTGCCGGTCCTTCGGCTGCGCAGGGCTTCAGCGATGCCTGGAACGTGCATGCGGCTCACAGTGGAGCGCCATCTGTTGGCGTCGGCACGCTGCCACAGTACTCGAACATCACCTGCCTCACGGCAGTGGGTAACAATCTGAATGGCTCTCCCACTCCCCCGTTGGCACACACGGCTCTTGGCATGTCCTCGACGGTGGGCCCCTCCAGCTCGCCAGTGGCGGCGCTTCAAAGTGATTATGCGCCAGCCGCCAGTCTCGTGGCTGCTGGCTACTCCTATACAACAAGTGGCAGCGGCTTGGATAACGGTAAGTGCCCCACTGAGCCAGTGCGTCGCGCTCTCTGCCTGGGTGTTCCTGTCAATCAGAGCCGTTTAATCGCTCGCTGAGTTCACAGGGTGTGCGTGTGTGCGGGGCATTTTGATCTCGAATTACCACCGCATAGCAACACATGGTACGAGTTTTATTGCTGTCGCTGTCGACATCGTCGTCGCCGTCGCCGTCGCCGTCAAAGTCAGCGGCAGCATCGGCGTCTCGGCACTGTGTGAATTTTAACGCCAGATCATAAAAAACGCTTTTTAATCGTGTCTTGTTTGTTTCCTCTACTTGGGCTATTTCGCAGGTCTGCGCTCCATGTCGCTGCAGCAGCTGCCAGCATTGTCCTCCATACAGACGGGTCAGTCGCAGTCGCATCATCATCATCATTCACATCATTCGCATCACCCGCATCATGGAAGCATGACGCCGCCGCCATCTCAATCGGGCAACCATGCCACCGATCGCTCGCCAATCGATTTCAAACCGGTTTACCTGCCCATGACTCCGCCTCCGACTGCAGTGAATGGCGGCTACTATGAGACAATCAAATATTCAAATTAGCCTAGCCAAATCTGATTAGCCATATAGCCGTCTACATATATGAGTTATTTTGCATTATTACCTCAAAGGATAATCAATCTATAAGTGTTAGCCCTTAAGTAGTTGCCGACAAAGTTAGTTGCTTAGTGCGTAAACAAAATGAATTATTATCAAATAAAATATATCATATAATTAGCAAGTATTTATAAAGCAAATAGTCAAGCATTGTTTGTGATCAAGCTGTTCAAATTTTCTATAAATATCTTCGACTGGCAGATGCCCTATAATCAATTCTACTCACTAAAATATGCATAGGTGCAACATCCGTTTCTATCTTTCTTTGCTACTATTCTCTGCATATAAGCTTATTAATATACAACAAAAAAAAACAGTTGATATTAAATATATATTTGCATAAAAACAAAAATGTTTCATTAAGCTTTTTGATAAATGATTATATTTAAAAACAGTTTGAGATATTTTTAAATGTTAAAAAAGATGGCAAGCAAGCCAGCTTATGAATATATATTTAAATTATAAATTATCTGAAACAATAATAATTCGCAAGCACATTTAAAAGTCGCGCGCAATGTGCAGACGAGTAGATCGTCAATTGCTCACAGCCAACTTCAACAGAGCAGCATAATTGCGTACTGCGAAGTTGGCTGTGCTGCGTGAAGTGGTGAAGCGTTAAGCAGTGTGCGCAAAGCAGTGCACTGCTCAAACATGCGCTGCTTGAAAACAGACATTATGTATAGTTTAATAAGATATATTTTGACCAATCTGGCAACACTACATACAATTTGAATTCATTAGTTGAGTTTAAATTTACATTTGCGCGCCTATTTAACGGAAAACTGCGAGTGTATAGATAAATTTTATGGTTTACAAATGTGGACGAAGAAATATAAAAATTGAGCTAGAGTTAATTTTTCTATATAACTGCGTTTCTCTGAAAAGTTTGGTATACGTTGAATATTTAATTTATTGATAGGTAGTATTAATATTATATTATTTGCAGCTTAAGAGATACATCATGTATTGAAATATTATTAATAATAAATTATCTCTGAGCATTGCTGATTACCCACTCAAGAAGCGAACTAACCAGATCAGAGGATAATAATATTCGCTCAGTATCTAAATCTGATTCCAGGCACATGCCCACCACATTGTTCTAGAGATTAGCAATCCAATTATTCAGTTAATTGTCTCACCTTTATGGGCAAATTAAAATCTCATACGGAGTCAAATGGAACACAGTGCAAGGGCCAACCCAACGTGAGCCTTTGAACTGACCATTGTGCGGGCCAAAAGGTAAAGGCAGCAGCAATCGCATCAAGAAGTCGTCGCCATTGATAATTATCGCCAGAGACGAAGACGGGGATGAAGCTAAGCATCACGATGAGGATGAGCTTGAGGATGAGGACTAGGACGTGGACAAGGGAGACTCAATCTTAGCAAAACCAAAAGACAAACAGTGAAACGGCAGTCGAGGTAACTTTTGAGTGAAAAATTTTACAGTCAAAGGATAATCGGGATTAAATCTTCTTGAAAAGTTAATGTTTACACACGCACCTACCGTTGGCGATGCGCCGATGACAGCGGCAAAAGGCAGCAAAAAAAAAGAAAAAGAAAAAAGATGCAAAAATTATGAAAATATTGTCACAAGTGCTGCAGCCAGCGCTGTGTCGTCCAGCGACTGCAACGACGGCAGCAGCATTCGCAGTGGCAGGACAATTGCAGGCGGCAATCAAAACATGCAATTGTCCTTTTTCGTTCCGTTGCGAATCGAACTGAGAGCTGAGGCCGAGCCGTCGTAAGAGGATTTGTGCGTCAAATAAACACACGAACGAACGAACAGAGCCACAATCGAAGCCAGGCCAAGGCCCAGGCCCATGGCCGGGCCCAGGACAACGGTCAGAGCGGTTCGGGCAGACTGTGAAAAACCGAAAACCAAATCGAAGATGCAGCAGCAGCAGCAACCGCACCAGCCTATATAAATAAATAAATAAAATGATTTGAACATTTTTAATTTTTGGCAAAAAATACGTTTTTCTTTGCGTTAAAATAAACAGTTTTTTAAAACGTAGTTTTTATTTATTTTAAATTTATGCGAAATTAAAAACGTTTTTCGCAAGGATTTCGAACCGCTGAATGTTTTCATAGGCGCGCATAGCAAATTGCCAGGTTCCAATGCCAGCAACTATCTGCCCCTCTGTCTTTCTGTCTGTCTGTCTGTGAGAGGAAATATTTATCGTATACAACAATAGATAGATAGATCCTTTATGCAGTGAATTCTATTGCCAATTTCGCCGGCTGCCCAATCATTTTACATTCGAATCGTTTACACACAAAGTCTCGAGTATGTCGCGCGTATTTCCCCATATAAATAAACAAAAGTCTTGTTCGAATAACATGGCATGGAATATTTGTTAAATAAACATTAGACCAGCGCAGCAGCAGCAGCAGCAACAGCAACAACAATACGAGTTTAGAGTCTTGAATGGAATAGCTCCGCAGACGGCATTGGAGACGCTGTTTTATGAATGAATTAAGCGCTGTAATGCAAAGTGTTTGAGTTATGCTCGGGCAGGTATAACACATTTCTTCAATGGGTTGTGAATGGCTTGCTGCAGCGTGAGACTCTGAGAACGCATATAAAACTTAATATATGCCAGAAAATTCATTCGGCTGTGCCATTCGTCTCCCTAAACTAGAGTATTCAAATGAACTCTCAGGTCGCAACTGTTTGGATAAGTTCGAACTGGGAAAAGCAATTCGAGAGAAAGTGGTAAAATGTTAATTGCATTAACTTAAAACTTCTAAAATTTCTAGATAAAGTGACTTACTTAAATATTTATTAAGCTTAATTTAAATCCTGATCATTTTCCATTATTTTATGTTTCCTCTTTTCTCTTGATTTCCAAAGTTAGCTTATTCAATGCAGTGGCATTAATATTTCTATTTATTAATAAATATATTCAATTAGCATGTCAATTGAGGATGTCCCCTTCTTTAATTGTGAGCGCACTTCAGTAGCGAAATTTCCGGGAAAAGCGCATTGAACTCATCACTTAGGCAAAAGGTACACACCTCACAGCGCTCCCGTTTTGGCTCGCAGCAGGAGCGTGGCCAGGTCCAGGAGCTGGCTACACCCACACATATAGCCAGCGGCTGACTGCTGGGCAATAAAAACTGTAAAACCGCAAATAAGCCACAAAACCGCAGGACACGCGCGACATAAGCAAAGCATCGCTACAGGGTACCAACAGCTTCCACATCGTCATCCTCATCATCATCATCATTATCGCTCGTGGGGGGGAAAACCGACCATATGAACAGTAGCACGATTTCCGACTGACCGACCGACCGACCGTCGCAGGCCAGGTAAGTTGGCCAGCTAAGCCCTGGCAGCGGGAAATACCCAATCGAATTTCTGCTGGTTTCATTAAGAATTCCCGCGGCGCGCATTAAAGTCTAAACATGCCAACCCCGCAGCCAGAAAAAAGTTTTCCCCTGCTGATCAAGCGCGCTTAAGCATTATGATGATTAGCATCCGGTGATTGGTGTTTTGGCTGACCACCAAAATTGGTGTTCAGGTAGCTTAAGACTTAGCGCCGCCGTCTTGCCATGAATTTCCGCTGCTTTAGGCTTAAAACCGGAAGATTTGCGCCACGATTATGATTGCGATTATGATTAAACTAATAGCGGAAATTTCCCAGCTGCATGCAACCCCTTCAATCCACATCCCACAGCCCGACTCCCACAATCCACACTCACATCAAAGTTCTTGGAATAACAAAACCAAAAATTTGTATCTACAACTAATCTGCTAAATTGGCTATGCAAAAGAACGAACTACGTATGCATAATGAGAGCTCGAACCATATACAAATCATAAATTTTAATGAGTGGCCGATATTGAACAAGCCAACCAACCACCCTACCACCCAACACCATCAACAACAGCCAACACCCCAGCCATTTCAACACCCTTTCACGACCCACCCTGCATACACCCGAAAATGTTATTATCCAACGAGGAAAGCAACCACGAGCCAATGCAGTGTGCAAGCAGTGCAATGAATGCGCCATTGCTGCGCTCTTGGTCTCTCTCACTCTTTGCTGCTTAGCTATGTGTGCAGTGCAGGCCACGCCTTCCATTGGCTGCGCATTCGTCTGTGCATGCGCTTGTGTGTGTGCGCTTGCTCGTTTACATGTGTGTGCGTGCGTGAGTCTACGCTTTATTGGCTCAGCAGAGAAGGCAGCGACGCTGCGTCGCCGCATGCATATTCATGAGAGAGCAGTGAGCAGTGAGCAGCAGCAGCAAGCAGAGCAGCGCCACCGCTCTGTTTGTGTTGGTATACGAGCTGTTCATGTGTGCGTGCGCATATTTCGCCTTATCAGCATTTTTAGGAGTGCGCGTTTTCAACCGAAACATATTTTTCAATTCCTTCTTTTTTGCTAGGAAATTTATTATTGTTGCAGCTTAAATCCTGTTCTCCTGTATGTGTGTGTGTTTGCCTGGTTCAAGTGCCGTTAACTGTCTGATTAGGGCACTTCGTGCACTCAGCGCTTTAAAATAAATATTGTTTTTAGATTACTTCTAGTAAAAATACTAAAATCTGCCCAAAATATAAAAAGGCCAGCAATTGCTAAATTTAATAGGCAATGAGTTGCCATATGGCACTCCCTTTGTTCGTCTCGCCAACTGTCTAAACGCCCCTCACTTGGCTCAACATGTGTTGCAAATTGTCCTCTACTCTCTTAGCTATTAGTCTGGCCGAGCTCCCTTCTCTGTCCCTGCACTAAGTGGACATCTGAAGCGACGCCTGCTCGTCGGCGATCAAATTGAGCGTGCAAAATGGCGAGCTGACATTTTTGACTTTTTTTCTGGCGACAAATGCCCCAACGATTGTGCAAAAGAAATTATATTTCCTAGATATTGACTTGTTATACCCTGAATTCATTTAGAATGGATGATCGGAATAGAAAGTCTATGAAATATGAAAATGTAAATGACTGAATTGATATTTTTATGATCAGCCTTAGTACTAATTTTGATTTGAGATATGTCTAAAGGATGAAGACTATGGAGCTTGGAAATTTCTTCTTCAGCTCGCAGCATGTTTTAGGATATCACTTAGCCGGATACTCCCCAGCAAAGCACTCTTAGATGTTTTTGTTGAAAATGTTTGTCAAATTAATATGTTTCATATGCTAATACCGTGACGAGCGCTGGCATTGCGTAATTTACATTTTTAAATTGATTAAGTTCATCAAACTCTGATATTTAGATGCTGCGAGGCGAAGAGCAGATGAGGTTTAGGATTAATTGTAGATTATGGCATTAGAAGCTAAACAAGATGATGATCGAACTCACTTTTTCTGTCTTTATCTCTTCCTCCACTAACTTTGAATCATATACACTCAACTATATGAGAAAGAGAGAGAGAGAGGGAGAGATAAATGAATGAGCCACCTCAATAGATTCTCATTCATTTATAATCACTTTTACCTATCATTTAATCATATAAACTTGAAGACAAAATGTAGCTGCGCTGCTAAATACTTAAAGTCTGATTAAACTTTCACTGCAATTGGTAAAAATTTGTTGGAGTGCGAGAGATTAAAACAATATTTGCATAGGTCAAATGACAGATAAAATGGAGCGGGAGCACAAGAAACAAGTGCGACGTGAGTCAGGGACTGGAACTGGAATTGAGATGGAGATGGAGATGGAGAGGGAGAGGGAGGGGGAGACGGAGAGGGAGACTGGGTCCCAACTTGGGACAGACGGGCATGGCAACTGCGCAAAAAATAACATGAACTGTGCAAAATGCAGAGACAGACGAAGTCACACACACACACACACACATGGACACTGACAATCAGGGCTCCAATGCCAAAAGACGAAAATTTGTAAAATCAGCAGCGATGTCTGCGACGCCAAAAAGCAAGAAAATGAAATGCGCAAATGGCGCAGCAGAGAGTGAGAGAGAGGGAGAGAAGAATGATAGGGGAAGAGCGAGATGGAGAAGGCGAAACTGTGGAGACGTCGGTGGCACTGCAACCTCATTCGAATTTCAAATGCAGCCAAAGGACTCTTCACTGGAATTGACCGGACATGGACACGGCCTGATGCTTCACATGCACATTCGTGGCGAGCTCTGCATGAGATGTGAGCTCTGGTCCAGCTAAGGTCCTTCATGTCGTCTTCCTGCATGCGGCATGCGGCATGCGGCTCGCATACGAAAAATTATGTTAAAACAATAAAAATATTTGTCAAAATAATGCGATTGCGCTAATAGAGCCAAATATTATTTTTGTATCAATTATCCAGGTTATCGAAATACGCACCGAAAGAGATAGGGCAGCAGAGAAAGAAACGCAGTGGGTTAGATAGAGTGCAGAGCAGTATGATAATATATAACTCTGTGTGGAGCTTTTTTATATGAGCTGCCAATTTATTGAATGCAAATGAAATTTATTATACTTTTAAATTATCACAATATATATTTAACACACACACGCGTGCATATAGCTAAAAGTAAGCAAACAGAACCGTGGGAGAACCCGGTTTGAATCAGTCTGCAACTCAACACACACACAGACACACAAGCACACACACACACACTCACTCGCACACACTTGCCCAAATAAACATATAAAATTTACTTTAAAGCTGACAAAGTCAATAAATATTGTTGTACGAAAAAATATTGTTTCAATAAGCAAAAACCAAATAAAAAAATTGTTTCAATGTGCTCTGCAAAAAAGTGCCTGGGCCCAAAAACAACAACAACAATAACAACGACAAGCGACTATATGTGAAAAAAGTGAGAAAATATGTGTCCAGGAGCACGGGAGGGAAATGCAAGCCAAGGGCTGTCGCTCTTTACATATATGAACAGGGCTAATACAGGTAGCATAGTTAAGAAGCGAAACTCTAGATTAGCTTCATTTAAAAAGCTTTTTGTACTTGTCTTTTGAGCTATAATATTTACGTCGTTTCTAGAATATAATTTAATTATATTTGACTCTAGAATACTATGAAAAGTTGGCAAATTCCAAATCTAGCAAATGTTATAAAGTAATAAGAATATAGCCTAAGTCTTAGCCCGTCCTTTAATCAGCTTTATTTTTTAAATGAAAAAATTGCGCTCACAAATTTATGCGTAAACCAAAACCACATAAAAGTCGCAGTTAGCGCAGCCAAAAGCCACCCACATATTTTTTTTTGGGCACGGAACTTGTCTGCACACCCAGGTGCTACGACAAATATTGCGCTTTCTTTCTAGGCAATGCCAGCAGGAGGAGGTGCGAGCGAGAGCGAGAGCGTTTGGCTAGGCCGCATTTTAAGCATTAGTTTGAACAACATAAATAGAGGCAACGAGGCAGGGTTGCAGGCTCAGACTCTAGCTCAGGCATAGGCTGGCATATATAGTAACTGCTGAAACAACTATTTCCACTTCCACTTCCACTTCCACATCCACATCCACTTCCCACACCCAAAAACAAAGCCAAGCTATACAGAAAAAGTGCCACTTTACAGGGGCGTACGTACAAAATCATGAATGGCGGCCACCTCGTGGTGAATGTGTGTGTGTGTGTGTGAAAGAGAGTATCTCTACGTAGCTGTGTGTGTGAGTGTTTGCGCACACATATAGCTGTAGGTCTTCACTTAGTGACTGCTGCGAATAGAACGTGCTGCTGTCGGTGGTTGGTCACCAACACAAACGCAGCTCCACTCACTGACAGCTACACACACACACAAACGCATTCGCGTCGGCGTCGCAGTCGCTGCCGCTGTCGCTGTCGCTGCCACTGCCGAGATTCGTAGCGCTGCTGCCGCGTCGCATTGACTCGAGCTATATGTTATTTCAGTTACACAGATTCAGTATCAGACGTGTTACTATCCCGAACGGTTCTTCGCCGCTGCGTTGTGCCTGCACGTCCGATGCGATTGCTTGTTGTTGTGTTAGCACACATACAGATACAACTACAGCTACAGCTACAGATACACAAATATTCGCGCACATTGCCACAGCTACAACTTGTTTAAGCAAATATTATTAGAACAAATAATAAACGCGCCGCAGCAACAGCAGCAGCCACAGCAAAAAACAAAAAAAAAAATTAAAACCTCTGTGAAGTGCGCCAAACAAAACACAAACACAAAAAGTAAAGAAAAAGTATTATAGAAGCTGCTTAAAGTTCTTGTGCCTGACAATTTGCAGTGGCGGCTCAGTCCGCAAAACTTAAAATACAGTTATCCCATAGTTAATACCAATATCAATATCATGCACACGCTGTTCAGTGATCAGAACTCTTTCTCCCGCCACTATGCCCAAACGGCCGCCGGCTATACATCCGCCTCGGCGGTGGCAGCCGCCAGCAGCGCCTCGGCGGCGGCAGCGGCCCATTATGCGTACGATCAGTACTCGCGATACCCGTACTCGGCCAGCGCCTACGGATTGGGTGCACCGCATCAGAACAAGGAGATTGTGAAGCCGCCGTACTCGTACATAGCGCTGATCGCCATGGCCATACAGAATGCCTCCGACAAGAAGGTGACACTCAACGGCATCTATCAGTACATCATGGAGAGGTTTCCCTACTATCGGGACAACAAGCAGGGCTGGCAGAACTCCATACGCCACAATCTCAGCCTGAACGAGTGCTTCGTCAAGGTGGCCCGCGACGATAAGAAGCCGGGCAAGGGCTCGTATTGGACGCTAGATCCGGACTCCTACAACATGTTCGACAATGGCTCGTTTCTGCGACGACGTCGTCGCTTCAAGAAGAAGGATGTGATGCGGGAGAAGGAGGAGGCGATCAAGCGCCAGGCCATGATGAACGAAAAGCTGGCCGAGATGAAGCCCCTGAAGCTGATGACCAATGGCATATTGGAAGCCAAACACATGGCCGCCCATGCGGCGCACTTCAAGAAGGAGCCGCTCATGGACTTGGGCTGTCTCAGCGGCAAGGATGTGTCGCATGCAGCCATGCTCAACTCCTGCCACGACAGCCTGGCGCAAATGAACCATTTGACGGGCGGCGTGGAGCATGCCGGCTTCACCGTCGACTCCCTGATGAATGTCTACAATCCGCGCATCCATCACAGCGCTTATCCGTATCATTTGAACGACGACAATCTGACGGTGGCCAGCAGTCAGATGCATCATGTCCATCATGCTGCGGCTGCGCATCACGCCCAGCAGCTGCGACATGTTGCCCACGTTTCACATCCCCTGACGCCGGGCAATGGCAATGGGATACAATCGTCGGGCGCTTCACCCACCACGATCTCAACGCCCCATGGACCAGCGCATGGTGGCTGGTATACGCCGGAGACGCCGCCATCGGAGCCCATTACCAACGGGGCTGGCCAGAGCGGAACGCCCACACATCCCAGCAACAACAATCCCAACCACAACAACAACAACAATAACAACAACAGCATACACAACAACAACAACAACAACAATCCGGCTATCTCCGCCTCGGTGCTGACCAGCAGTCCCAGCTCAGCGCTGGGCTTCCGCGACATGATCTTCGAGCAGAATCAATCCTGCCAGCTGGACACGGGCAGCCCGACGGGCAGCATACAGTCGGCCAGTCCGCCGGCTTCGGCCAGCGTTGCGGCTGCCTCTGCCGCCGCCGCAGCTGCCGTGATAAATAGTCATCATCATCATCATCATCACGTGTCGCACCTGAGCGGGAATCTGGGCAATCTGGGCCAGCTGAGCAACCTCAGCCATTATCGTCCGCATGTGGGTCACTACCAGGAGTATGGCATCAAGTACGGTGTCTAAGGAGGGGGCTAAATGGGCGTGGCCGCTGTGCTCTCTTGTATATTCCTGTAAATATATTTCCAAGCATGATTCACAGCAGCAACAGCAGCCGCAGCAACTGCAGCAGAAAGTATCTCAATGTCAATGAATTTATTATTGTTTTTCATTTTTTTGAATTGTTTTTATTTGTATTTGTATTTAGTGTTTGCTGTTCACACGCTGAAATGTTTTGGCGAATTGCGTATACGATGTGTGGGCCAAGCGAACGCTCACGTATTTAGTTGTTAGTTTTATACAATCTAATAGCATTAAACACTACCATTAATAACTACAATTAACTACTTATTAATAATTGTTATCACTTTAGGGCGTAGTTATGTCTGGTATGCAATTTGTGATGAGTTTTTGCAATGCGATCGATTTTCATTTAGCCAGTAGCAAGTATTTCAAAGGAAACTCCAAATGGAAATGAATATGAAAATTCAATGAAAAGCAAACGATTTAAAACATCATAGTATGATAGTGAATCGCTTAGTAATATTACAATTAACTAGCCTAGCCTACGTAAGCAATAATAAATTATAAATAATTATAAAGCAAAAGCAAATCTATTATCAAATTAGCGTCTAAAACAAAACCGTGTATTAAACCACAAACAGCAAAAAAAGAAAAAAAATATGTTAAAATATCAAAAATGATTGCGAGTTTTATTTCCATCTACACCAGAATCAAAGTTGCACTTCCACATGGCATTGCACGGAAACAGACTTTCAGATGAAATCGATAGCATACGCAAATTCCGATGTCTGGCTACTGATAAAGGAAATATATGTACATATATATATATATATATATATGTATATATGTATATTAGACGCATATTAAATGACCGCTCAGCAGGAAAGAAGAAGCGTTCGCTCAGCTGAATGAATGAATCAGCGTCAAAGAAATATGACAATGGGGAATATCAGATGAACTGCACTTGGTCGTATTGCACGTGCTTCAATACTACTCTCCAGACGGTCTGTGCGTGTCCAATGTTGGCTAAAAGTCCACTGCGCATCAGATTGCAATATGCGACCATAATCAATATTGTGTCTCATCAGACATTGGACATATGCAATATGAAATTCAGCTCTGATAGACTTTAGTTTATTACAAAGATTTGTTTTAATTACATTTTATTATTACAATTAGTTTACGCACTTCAAATATGTGTTACTATAACTTGGCCTCATCTAAGAGTATACGAAATTAAGTCATTTGACTAGCATTTGCTCTGGTATAGTATGATATAGCAATATGGTCCGATATGCCTCTAAGACTAGTTCAGAATGGCTTTCATAATAATCTAACGAAAATCTAAATGAAAAAATAAAAAAAAATATATATATATATATATACATATATATAGTTCTACTTCTGTTGCCAGCTAGAGTTCTCATAGCTCAACATAGATCTGATTCAGCAGTTAACAATAAAAACTTTTAAAAATTGCTGAAAATTTCCTAAATGCTGCCGCAACGTAGCTTTCACTAAAACATTTCCGTTGCTCAACAATAGCCGTGTAAATTGTAAATCTTTAGTTAAAATAACTCACAAGAAATTCCCCAACTAAGCCACGCCTCTAAATGCCAGACAAATGCAGTTAATTGGTAGAAAGTAAAACACAAAAGTGGCATTCGACTGCGAAATGCGTAACGCTAATGATGAGTGCCAAAAAGTGTATTGCTGCGGTGCGCTTATTAGCTGAATCGAGTCGGACCAGTTACCCAACCAATCTAGCGACAACTCCACTGATTAACTGCCAAAAAAAGCAACAACAACAACTGCAACAACAACAGCAAAATGTGTGCTGTGGCTGCTGTCTGTCAACAGTCGCTGATGATGTTGTTCAGCAAAACGTGTGGATTGTTGTCATGGTCTACTCCAGTGTCTGCGCCTCCATTATGCGGCTATCATGAGGCGATCCATCGTCACTTGAGATACCCGCCTGGCGCCATAGCGGCATTGAGATTGCGTTGACCACGACTTCGAACGACGATATTGATGTGGGCTAAACTGTGCTCAGGTGTCGCTTCAGCTGAAGCACAAACTTGCCTTTACTTGGCTAAGGGCCATTGGGCCATTGTTTTCAATGGCATACAAGTCTTGAGCCGCGCCATGCCTAGCTGGGTGGGCACAGCCGGCACACAAATGAGCGCTCAAGTGCGAATGAAAAGTGTGCCAAAGCTAGGCCTACAAGCGTGCTCACACTGTGCTACAAAAACAAGTAGGATGTGGGTTACGAGGCGAACAGAAGAAGGCCTCTATAGCTCTATATGTTAGGTATGCGTATACTATATAAACATCATATTAAACAGCTGTTAACATACATAGATAGATTAACATATTCCTAACTACTGCTAAGTGATTTATGTAGACTAACAGCTACTTGCTGTTTAGGCCTTAACGCCTGGTAAGATGACATGTAATAGTTAAGTTTATTTTGCTTAAATTTATTATTTAGTTCAGTTATATATTAGTGCTTCAGTTTTCATATATATCAATGTTAGTTCGGTTGACAGTTTGAAGCAACTGTCTGAATTAAGCCTCGTAAGTCGCCATAGCCTCGGTTTTTCGGAGCCTTGAAATCAAGTTATTTTTGACCAAGAGACAAAGCTGAAAGGCTGAGTATTTTAAGGCAAAGCTTTATGGAGAAAAACTATGATTCGGCTAAGTTTTTGTATACATATATCAACTAAAGGTTCGATTCATAGAGAAGATGAAGTTCTGGGCGCAAACTAGTTTTGTTATATAAAGAAAGTGTTTAGGCATCATCGATCTTCCTCTCTTCACTCACTCTCTCTCTCTCTCTGTCTATCTTTTTCTTATGCTTACGCCAGCTATGCAAATTCAGCGCCTTTTGTAGAATCAAATTTTTGGGCTGCTGCGATTGTTGCGTTGACAAAGCCGCGCCTCGACGAGGCTTGAGTCCATTCGGTGTCAAAAGCAACAAAATTAAATGCGAAAACAACAAAACTGAGAGGAAAAATATAAAAGAAATCGTGTCGCAAATGAAAAAATATGCCCACAGCAGCCGTCGCGAGCTGCGAACGCAGATTGCGCGGGTGGTCCAAGCGGCAGAGGCGCGTAGGGGACAGTGCGCAGCGGACAAGATAAACAAAGCGTTGGCGACAACAGCAAAATGTTGCACTGTTTGCTTAGCGATAAGGACGCACACGCACACACATACATGAGCAGATGCAGATGCAGGACACAGTTCGCAGGACAACAATGACACACGCACATGTGTGTGAGTGTAGTTGTAATCAAATCATTGACAGAGCGACCCAAAAGCGACCCAATCATAAATATTGACAGCTGCCGTCTGCGCTCGTCCTGGAGCCAGGCCCGATTTACATAAATATTATTGCAAGCCTAATTAAATGCAAGTATTAGCTGCTAGCAGCACCTACCACGCCCGCCACCCCCACCACGCCCATGCCACGCCCTATCAGGCAACAGCTGCACAGGAATAACTGTGAATTTGTTTGCTTCGCTCGCCGTGTTGCGAGCTCCTTTGTAATTTTTATGTTTCTCCCACGGTGCTGCTGTCTCACTCTGGCCTCGTATTGCTATCTCGCTCTGGCTAGCTGGCTACATATATACTTGTACATATTTATTTACCTGCCCAGTTGTGTTGATGACCTGTTATCATTGCGCCGTTATAACAATAAATTCTACTGCCATCGCCTGACGACGATGACAACAGAAGCGTATAATATTGTTGTCCTTGTTGTTCCTGTTGCTGTCGTTGTTGTTGGTGTTTGTCTTGCGCGGTTTTGCTGTTGTTTTGGCAGCTGTCGTTGCAATTAACCCGGCTATAATAGAGACTCGCCAACTCCAAAGTAAATTTACATTGCGTGAACATTATAGTTGAATATAACTGGACTTTAACTATTGTATTAAATTACATGAATCATTTGATTGTTAAGTGGATCGCAACACGAGGATGAGCTAGAGTCAAACCTTTCCAGTGCAGTCAAAACACAGTGTGAAAATCTTAAAATGTAAAAGATTCCCTACGTCAGTCTGTTCGTCTTTCGGCTTCCTCTTTATGGAAAAGCTGCTCTAATCTGAAGCAAATGTGGATCGTATATTTTGCTTCAAGATCAAAGCTCCAAAATCGTAAGATAATGCTTCAGCTTTGCTGCGATCGTTGAGCAAATAATACTTAATATCAACTGCAAGAGCAAATAGAGTAAACTTCCGGTTCCCTTTGTCAGCTGTAGAGTCCATAAAGCTATGGCCGAGTTTTAATGCCAACAGCAACAACAACAACGGCAACAACAACTGCATTTTTATGGCATTAAACAAACTTTGAGAGCGAATGTTTTCGAACACTTTTGAAGTTTTATTGAGTTATAAATACGCAAAATGGCTTTGGAGTTGCCTCGCCCAAGCGAAACTAGACTCGGCAATTTTCAAATTAAATTTATGATCGATTTATGCCAAAAACAAAACAAAGCAACAACAAAAAAGAAAAAAGAAAAAATGAAAAAAAAGCTGGCAAGTATGCAAATGAAAAATCAGCGCCAGGCGTCGACATTTGAGTAAATTAGCCTCTCGTCAGGGCGGGGCGCAGGAGGAGCCGGGGCCAGCCGACCAGAAGAGATCCGGGAGCAGGCAATTTATTGGCCCAGGCTGACGGACGACGCGTCGATGGCAACAACAAAAGCAGCGAAAATTATGTGCAGCCGGCAAGAAAATTGCAACAACAATTTTGATTGACTGTTGCGCTTGAAATGCTTTGATCTGGGTCTTGCCAGCAAATTGGGGGAGAGTGAAAGGATGCAGCAATGCTAGCGACAGCAGTTGCCAGCTGACGCCAGCAGATGGCGCTCAATTGGTGATTAACGTCGACGCGTCGTCCCCCATTGGGTAAGGTCGTCGAGTGCAGCGAATGAAGCTATCGCCAGCATATTTGATTATTGCAATCTGATGTGCAGTTTATTTTGCTTATCAGCTCTGGGTGCTTTGATGTCACACAGTTGGCATTGGCTCGTCACCGGGCCGTAGAATGTTTATGCCAGTCCAACCAGTCAGCCGGCCACAAATTTTTGGGCCA